TCTCTAAATACATCTTCACCAACATGAAGGATAGACTCGTACCACATGGGGCAACTGAGTGGTGTGGACTGGCTTCCGTCACTTAAAGGCGCGCACTACTTGCTCAGTGCCAAACCTGTCGTTTTATATGGTTCGAGCCTGGCCTGATCTTGATCATATGCCTCAACTCGTCGTTTTGATTCGTTAATCCTGTACCCGTCCTAGGACTCATGGATATTACGATTGGAAGATTATCGGTAGGTACCGTTCGGTCACTCTCTCCTTTTATTGATCTGTTGTTTGTTTCAATATAAGATTAATCTGTTATGTCTTTCACGACGAATGTGTTCTGTCTCTCTTTCCATAGCCTTCGACTAAACGCCATTCTCTCGAATCTCTGTCTGCCTACCGTGCCTAACCGTTATGACTCATGAGCAAAACTGCAAATCTAAATGCGGAATCTGATGTAATTCTCTCATGGTTTTGGGGATGCATTTTTCACCTTATAACACCAGCGATCGCACGGAGGGGGACACCAGAAATGGGCTTCACACACTGTACCCATGTGAGGAATCGAACCCGGGTCTTTGGCGTGACGAGTGAACGCTTTAACCACTGGGTTACCCTACCGCCACCCTCGAGTCTGAGATAGGTGTCAAGGCTAAAGATATCAAAGAGAGACTCACTAAGCACATTCATTTGTTCGATGAGGCTTTCACAGTGAAGCAGTTGGTGCTTAACAATGTCCTCCTATTCGCGGTCACTAGGCTACCCACCGCCCTATGTAATATGGATACCCCCAATCCTAACACACGCAGTATAATGAATTCAATGCAACTATTTACAAAGTATTGTGGTAGTATTGAACCCCGATATACAGTCCTGGTGACCCAGATCACTTTCATTACCGGACGGCTCGTCCATATCCCCACCTGTCACCTCAACAGTGGCTGGGATCACAACGTACTTAAAACTAAACGGTTAACAACATATGTCACACTTAATTCAGTTTAAGAGTACACTGACATCAAGGGTAACTGTAGTTATATAGTATGACCAGAACTTATTGAGAATTTTAGGAATATGTTTAATTGGATTTCTAGCATAAACAACCTTGACCTGCTATCAAGTGCTTGGTTTCATTCAAGAGAGACAACTCCGTTAATCCTTTTTCACAAGTTTGTGAAGAGTTATCCCCCTTTTTTTACTTGCTAGCAGACGACATTTTCAGTGATCCTCAGTATGGATGATTTAGAGAAGAGGAAGTTGATTTTAGAGTATTATAACAAGGACATCAGATCAGCTAAAGTGATTTCAAGTAGAACAGGCATCCCTTTGTCCACTGTTTATCGTGTTTTTAAAAACATTGCAAATGGATATGGCATTGAGCACCAGGGAGGCGCAGGTAGGTCCAGAAAATTGACTGTCGGTGACAGGAGGCGGCTTGGTATTCTTGTTTCTAAAAACAAACGAAGGCGTTTAGAAAACTTAAGGCTGGATATGATTGATAGAGGAACTGTATCTGTCTGTAAGGAGACAATTAGAACTGAGCTGCAAGCAACGGGTTGGCAGAAAAGTCGAGGAATTCTATCACCGATCATGAAACCTGAACAAAAGGAGCGAAGGTTGAACTGGTGCATTGACATTTTAACTGGGACAATGTGAATTTCTCAGATGAAAGTTCTGTGTGGCTGTTTCCTAATACACTGAAATTCAGGACCAAACAAACTGAAAAACCTTTGTATCAGCGCCCAAAGTACAGTCCGAAATTTAACGTGTGGGGTGGCATAACTCTGTTAGGGGCAACGCCCCTCTGTGTATTTGAAGGGAATATGATCAGTGAGCGGTACACAGATATTCTCGAGGGACATTTACTTCCATCTGCTCACGTGTCCAATCGAAATTTTCGGATTTTCCAGCAGGACGACCCAAAACATCGTTCAAAGCATCCACAGGCCTGGTTTCGGACCCAAAATATGACAATATTAGATTGGCCAAGCTATAGCCCTGACCTAAATCCAATAGAAAATGTTTGGGGACTTATGAAGGAAAGTGTCAATAAGAAAAATCTGACAAATATTGCTGAAATGAAAGAAGAGGTGGTCCGACATTGGGACAGCATGGACCACGACCTTCTAACTTCTTTGATCAGTAGTATGCCCCACCGCATTGAAGCCTGCATTGCTGCCCATGGTGACTTGACAAAATTCTAACTATTCACCTGTCTTTGAATCTGGAGTTATGTTCTGCTAATATTCACATTTAATGAGTGAATTATTTATTTTAAATTACAATCTTATAAATTAAATTCTCACTAATTTCTGGTTGTACTGTATCTACATGATTAATGACGTATCGTCAACATCTCTGTCATCTTCTCTATCGACATACCATATACACACAATCGTCATAACGACCCAAGTCTGTGAGGGTGTAGCTTCAAGCTGGTGGTGAGATTTGCCCTGAGACATCAGGATATTACATATTAACTTCACTCGGTGTTAACCTGCAGGACAAAACCAGATCCACTGACCTGATGATTGGAGGTCTCCAGAGGCAGGTTGTATAACCCTCGTTATTACACAATCCGCGTTATAACGTCTCAAGTTACGTCTATTCACATCATTAATAATAATACAAAAAAATATCAAATAAGCCAGAAATATGGGAAATATATTTATGTGTATGTGTGATTCCTACATTTGTATTTCGACATCACTTGCATCAGGTACACGTACTTCATATCCAAACGTATGAGAGCAGTCATTTTTTAGCAATGCGCAAGTAACAGCGAATAGGACTTGCCAGCATTAATGGATTTCACGCCAGATACACACATCACTGCGCCTTAGTCTTCAACGATGACTACACTGAAAGAAACGTGAAAGAAGGCGGTGTCTATATAGGGACGTGACATTGTGTCGATGGTGTCTACACAGTATAGGGACGTGGCATTGTGTCGATGGTGTCTGCACAGTATAGAGGTGTTATACTGTGTTGATGGTGTCTGCACAGTATAGAGGTGTTATACTGTGTTGATGGTGTCTGCACAGTATAGATGTGTTATACTGTGTTGATGGTGTCTGCACAGTATAGGGGTGTGATATTGTGTCGATGGTGTCTGCACAGTATAGGGGTGTGATATTGTGTTGATGGAGTCTACAAACAATAGGAATGTGACATTGTGTCGATGGTGTCTGCACATTATAGGAATGTGACATTGTGTCGATGGTGTCTGCACAGTATAGGAATGTGACATTGTGTTGATTGTATCTGCACAGTATAGGAATTTGACATTGTCTTGATGGTGTCTTCACAGTACAGGAATGTGACATTGTGTGGATGGTGTCTACACAGTATAGAAATGGGACATTGTGTTGATAGTGTCTACACAGTATAGGAATGTGACATTGTGTTGATAGTGTCTACACTTCATAGGAATGTGACATTGTGTGGGTGATGTCTACACAGTATAGAAATGGGACATTGTGTTGATAGTGTCTACACAGTATAGGAATGTGACATTGTGTTGATAGTGTCTACACAGTATAGGAATGTGACATTGTGTCGGTGATGTCTACACAGTATAGAAATGGGACATTGTGTTGATAGTTTCTACACAGTATAGGAATGTGACATTGTGTTGATAGTGTCTACACTTCATAGGAATGTGACATTGTGTGGGTGATGTCTACACAGTATAGAAATGGGACATTGTGTTGATAGTGTCTACACAGTATAGGAATGTGACATTGTGTTGATAGTGTCTACACTTCATAGGAATGTGACATTGTGTGGGTGATGTCTACACAGTATAGAAATGGGACATTGTGTTGATAGTGTCTACACAGTATAGGAATGTGACATTGTGCTAATGGTGCCTACACAGTATAGGAATGGGACATTGTGTTGATAGTGTCTACACAGCATAGGAATGGGACATTGTGTGGGTGATGTCTACACAGTATAGGAATGGGACATTGTGTTGATAGGGTCTACACAGTATAGGAATGGGACATTGTGTTGATAGTGTCTACACTTCATAGGAATGTGACATTTTGTGGGTGATGTCTACACAGTATAGAAATGTGACATTGTGTTGATAGTGTCTACACTTCATAGGAATGGGACATTGTGTGGGTGATGTCTACACAGTATAGAGATGTGACATTGTGTTGATGGTGTCTACACAGTATAGGAATGTGACATTGTGTTAATGGTACCTACACAGTATAGAAATGTGACATTGTGTTGATAGTGTCTACACAGTATAGGAATGTGACATTGTGTTGATGGTGTCTACACAGTATAGGAATGTGACGTTGTGTTAATGGTACCTACACAGTATAGGAATGTGACATTGTGTTGATAGTCACTACGCAGTATAGAAATGGGACATTGTGTTGATGGTGTCTACACAGTATAGGAATGTGACAATGTGTTAATGGTACCTACACAGTATAGAAATGTGACATTGTGTTGATAGTGTCTACACGGTATAGGAATGTGACATTGTGTTAATATTGTCTACACGGTATAGGAATGTGACATTGTGTTAATATTGTCTACACGGTATAGGAATGTGACATTGTGTTAATATTGTCTACACGGTATAGGAATGTGACATTGTGTTAATATTGTCTACACAGTTTAGGAATGTGACATTGTGTTGATATTGTCTACACTCTACAAGAATGTGACATTGTGTTGATGGTGTCCTAACGGACTGTGAATGCGACATTATGAAGATGATATGTTCACACAACAGAAATGTGACATTGTGAAGGTGATGTCGCCACCGTATAATGATGTGACACTGCTAATGCTGTGTCTGCTCTGTTGGGAATGTGACATTGTTCCCGTGAAGCCCACTATACTGGGAATACAGTCACTGTATGACACTTGATACTGATCCCGTTGGTAGATTGGCTCCGGTAACTATAGCAGAACATATGGCGTATTTACATTGTGAGCTGTAGGACGTGTTTGCTGAAAGGATGTCCCCACAATCGTTGTACATGACTAATACAGTTTGTTGGCGGTAAACACATACTGACGACAGTACAGTTGTCCGCTCACATCGTTATAGCTGAGGTCTGAATAAGCCTGAGTTTGTGTGAATATTGTTTTATCTGTATCAGAATTGTGAACCACGAGGTCGATGTAATAATTTAGTCATCCATGCCTGATGTCGTCATAACATTACTCACTGACCGACTCCATGCCTTCCGTGCAGATCAGTTGAAGGTCCATGCAGTCCGTGGATGGTAATGCTAACACACAGGTGAGACATTAAGCTGTATATCATTTCAAACCTTTAATATCTAGTTATGTATCATTTTTATGTTAATAATTAATTCTTGTGATGCCATTTTGCTTCCATTTCTGGTGTCTACCCTGCACATAGAGATCTACGTGCAGCCTCAACAATATCGCTTCTCTTGTGGTGAGAGGGTCGTTTGTTTGTTAGAACTGGCAACCCTTAGTGGCTGAATTATACGTCACATCTTTTGATGGGGATATTTTTAACTTTTCTTGACACAAAAATTCATTCAAGATATGTTAAGTATTATAACATAGATTGAAAAGAATGTTTTTATCTTTCAAAAGTGGAGTGGTATATTTATTAAAAACCACAGATCGTGGTTTATTTGTATTCGTCAATACACGCTTCTTCTTCCATCTACAGTGGAGCCTAAACAGTGTACTGAAGGGTCGATCTACCAAATGCGTTGTAGCCATATCATTTAGTTTGTTGTCCTTTTTGGCTCAATACAATGGCTCAGACCTTCTGAAATAGGCCAAGGAGTGTGTGTGTATACAGTCCGCGTACCATGAACACTTGAGTTTAAATGTTCGGCTTACTTCCACGGGGAGCCCGGCGCTTACATTACACCCCTCCATGTTGACAGTGTGCGGGTACACGACCTTCCTTCGTGCCCCGTCACTCCGCCTGACGCTCCACGCTGGGAAACCTGAGGGTCTGGCTAACACGGATATATGTCGGCCGCTGTGCAGGGTGGGGCCCTGACTCGACAAAACTGATAGTCACGTGACTGTGCCCGGGGGTAGAGCGCAGAGCGATGGCAGGAAGGATTGTACTTGCGTTAGGTGAGTCAGCTCTGATTTGTTATAACAGTTCAAGTCATTAAATATATCAATTGAAATATATATTTCCAGATAATGTAACATTTCACTATAGTTGTACGTGTACTATTCCTTTAATCGCCAGCGCCTGAGAGACTGGAATCTAAGGCGTGATATGAACTTGGTACGGAAGATTTATGCTTTTAACGGAATTAAATGTATTTCTGTGTTGTCATGGATTCATAAAGTTAATGTTCCACACTGGTTACATACACACATACAACATAAGGGAGAAGGTGTCCAAGGTTGGAAGAGGGTAATCAATAATATTTACTTCTTGTGAATGACATAGAAGGACAACCCAATCTTTACACAACCATTTTTTTTTACCCAAGGGATATACATATCCATACAACATTTGACCCAATTCATTCTCAAATAGGTTAACTCAACGTATAGAACAGATATATATGTGTGTGTGCTGGCATGGTGTGTACATTCAGTGTGGGTAGTAATGTGACACCACTCAGGAGCACTAACAACGTGGGACATGCTGCTACCTGCTAACCATACATTGGGACATCACATCCACTCAGTCACATCTTTAATATTTATGGCCAACGGGACTAATAAACAACAAGACTGCAGTACAGCTATATACCTGTCCCCTTCCTGCACCCCCTCCCAGCCCCGCATCCCGTTGTTACCACCCCTGTATTCACCTTGCTGGTGGTGGTAACAGTCCCATGTCCCTGAGTCATCGCCTATATATACATGTATAACCAACAATGAACTGAGTAAATTGTCAGCTATTATTCTTTTGCAACAACATGGTGTACTCTAAGTACGAAGAAGATGAATCTGAATAGAAAAATCTTTTAAATACGTTTATTAAAGATGCAACGAAACAAATACTAAAACGTGAAAATTATATTTTCGCAATTACAAGGACTAACATATCAATGAAGAAGGCTTTATCTCGTGCATGAATCATGTGACGTGAACGTTTCAGGAAGTAACGTGAGGAGGTGAACATGGTGTTAGAATGTGAATTATTACATGTCGGTCATGCTCTGAAGTACCTGTATTTGAGTAGACCCGGCCTACATCGTACCTGTACAATCTGTACAGGTAAAATATTTGCAATGTAGCTTGTAGGGCAAAAGAAATAGGCACCTTGAAAAACCTTGATATCATTTTGTTTTTTTAAGCGTCCTCTGAACAGGTAATACATTTATTCATTCATTCATCAGTAAGGTACATGTAGCAACGGTAATTTGTGTGACTTTTGTAAAAATGTAGATACCTTAACACATGCTTTTTATATTACCTGGCTTTGGACGTGGTCTAAAATATTCTCATTATTAATTCACTTAATAATTTTAGGAATACTGAATTGTATGATATCATTGAAGAAAACTACAAATCGACATTTCTGCTTTACTTGTCAGGTACATATAATATTTTATTAGATGAGGTACATGGAAGTGACTGTTATTTTCATATGCTAAGGACACATTTGTTTTGTGGCAACTATTTATTATTATCACCAATTAATCCTATGCTCAACAGTCAATAAATGGTATTGTATTTTCTGTCAACGCGGAAACAACATACCCTGTTACGTCCACGTGGTATTGGAAAAGGTTCTACAAAGTCATTACCGAACATCGTGAAAATGCGACGCACGAGTGCCTTAAACCATCCTGTCCACATGACCTGTTGTGAAATACTCTTTGATACAATGCGTGTAACATCACCCATGACGCCCGTATCAAATACATCGCCGCCGAGGAAACATAGCTTATTTGTTTAATTCGCCACCAATATGAGCGTCACGGCAAAAATCACTTGATATATTAGGAGGTGTATGCATAAGCACGTTTGACCTGAACTTTAAAACCCTTCAGATTTGTAGTATATCACTTTAGTTTCAAGTGTCATCTGAAATCACCAAACCATTATTCAGATAGCGAAAATTGTCTAGCTGTGCTGTATCGCGACAGAACAGTATGAACGTCTCTATATTTGGTTTGACTCTTGTTTTACGTCCTACGTTGTTCCAGACAAACCAGTGGTTGATATAATGAGTGTAATGGCGTGCAGTCAGCGTCTCTACTAAGTCTGATCACCTGATAAACCCGTGAAGGTCCGGGTTAGAATTGATCTTCAGTAACCCATGCTTGTTTGTAAGAGGCGACTAACGGGATCGGATGGTCAGACTCGCTGACTCGGTTGACACATGTCATAGGTTCCCAATTGCGCAGATCGATGTTCATGCCGTTGATCACTGGATTGTCTGGTCCAGTCTCGATTATTTACAGACAGCCGCCATATAGCTATAACATTACTGAGTGTGGTGTAAAACAAAACTCACTCACTCACTCACTGATCACCTGATCACGACAAGATGCTGTTTGTGTTGAGATCTACAGTGTGTTCAGCTACTATTTCACCATATCTGGAAGTACGCGTAATAATTGGGCCACGGTCGCAGTGATAATATACAGGCTCGTTTTTTGTTCACTTTGAATAAGAGTTAAGAGAGATTGACAATCGAATTTCTACTTATAGTCGACAGTAGAGCATTACGATTTATTGATACTAGACCGTATATGATATACAGAGGACCATGCATCTGTTGTAAATAATCACGGGCAGGAACTCGTCTTCAAAGATATTATAGTCTGTTTGCAGTGAAAACGTACCGATGAATTTCACTCTAAACAAAAAAGTAAATCGCTTGAAGCGAAATTAAGATTGCGAATCCTCATAATTTTACCTTGCCAATTGAACATTCAAATCTCATAATGTTATTCAACTGAGGATAAAAGTTGTTTAACAAACGATCATAGTTTCAAATCGATATTATTGGTTTGTATTACAAGGGGGTATGCACATTAGATGAAACACCGAGAACAAGTAGGGCTGGTCTAAGTTAATGCTCATCACGTACAGCACGTGCATTTGTTTCACTGTTCCATCTACTGCGCTTACCCCCTTGTAATGGCCTCGAGTCAAGGCTTGAGTGCTGCGGCGTAAAACGACGTCAGTATGAAGCAAATGCATATGAATGGTGTCACTGGGTATAAAGCACGAAGTCGTCTTGCATGATCTGCCTAGTGATGTTAATATATTTCTATCCCGATCACAGAATACACTCGCTAGTCCTCACATGAACTTATGAAAGCATGTATCCATGACCACGTGATTACGTCATATGGAGTGTAGGTGAATGTTTCCCACACAGCGGATGTGAGACTGCTTGGGGGTGACGGCAGCTGCCTCCTGACACCTGCCCCGGGGGTGGGGACTGAACACTTCCTACATGTTCCGCTGACCTACTTGTGCACCTCATTAACTCCGTCACCTGACACAGAGTAAATTAACACGCAATGTGTAGAGCAAAAACTTGGATTGAGGTAAATGAAACAGAAATGGTTATGATACTGTCCCATACGTGCCTTGAAGTTAAGAAAGCAAAATCTCAGTCTTGCGCTGTTGCCTCTTGATCTCACTGTAGGCATAACAACACAATCAAAACCAAGCAAAACAAAACAAAACTAACACCCCAAAAAAACAAACAAAACAAAAAACAAAACAAAAAACCAACAACCCAAAATACAACCCCCCAAGCAAACAAAACATTCGGTAAGCACATTTCAGCCACCGTAAACGTCTTGATAGGTATTCATAATAAAGGTTTCAACATGATCTGTGACACTATTGCACTACCAGAAATATGGTGGGTAGGTGCAAAAAAGCCAGTTAAGACACATATCAGCTGAATTCAACGATATCCTTAGCATGTGTTTATGAGTAACCATCAAATAGTGATCGTACACGACACAAGAAATGACAACATGATACACAATCGATTTGAAAACAAAACAAAACAATAACCATCTTTGAACTGTTGTCTTACACTTACATCTTCACAGAAACTGATGGACCAAAGAAAGTATACAATCATGTTGGGTGGCGGAAAAACTAAATTTCAAACAAATATCAAATGGTTATACCATGCTTATTTGGTCGACACAAACTTGTATTTAGAATATTCATTTTACAGCAATTCCGAAGGTTGTAACAAATTGATAACCCGTGTATTCTGTTGGTAAATCCGACATTTTTGTATAAATTATTTTGCCCGGCAGAGTTCTTGTATATGAATGTTAGTTTGCATCTAACAATTGCTGCCTTCATCACCTACGACTTGACACAAATGTATTATTTTTTTCTACGATTGCTTCCAAACACAATCTCTACTATTTGCAATGACAATCTCCATTCTGATAAAATGGAATATGTTGTGCGACTGTTAGTTTCAATATTTGACTGGTGGATGCTTTCTTCAACTAAAGTTGTATATGACCTTGTGTTAGTCCGACGAGGCAGTACTTCTTGAAAACAAATTCGGTTTCCAGATTGTGTATACTTTTCTGCAACTATTTGCTCGTATTTCTAGCACAACTATTCATAAAACATGAAACAATTCTAGGTGTCTGTTTACACGAATGTGTAGGAATTGACATCATCGAAACATGACATGGGCTTTATACTCCTTGACCTGTGAAGATCTGGGGTAGAATTGGTCTCCAGCAACCCATTCTTGTCATAAAAGGCGACTATGCTTGTCGTAAAAGGCGACTAATGGGATCGGGTGGTCTGGCTCGCTGACTTGGTTGACACATGTCATCGGTTCCCAATTGCGCAGATCGATGCTCATGCTGTTGATCACTGGAATGTCTGGTCCAGACTTGATTATTTACAGACCGCCGCCATATAGCTGGAATATTGCTGAGTGCGGCGTAAAACTAAACTCACACACTCACTTTATACTCCTTCATCATCATACATACAACAAAAAGATGTTGTCATTAGAAAATGTATCACAAACTGTTGTAGGAACTAAATATAATTATAAGAATGATTTGAATCATTTGTAACGAAATTTGCATAACCTCTCATCTGAGTGTTATGTTCTGGTCAGGTAAATATTCGGTCTTGGTCATTCTTGCGATTTTGTCGGGATCGAACAGTGAGCTTGGTGGAAATATGTTTTATGATTATTGAAATGCTTTGTCGCGTTTTTTACAAATATCACATGAAAAATGTGACGCTGATAGATATGGAGTTCATGTAAATAATATAGTGTTCATTTAGTACATAACCACAATCAACACGAACATGTCCCTAATAACTACGTCCACGTCAGCTCGGGCAATGTTAGGTGTACGGAGGAAACGTGTGACGATACGGTCACGGTTTGGGAGCGCGTTTCAAAACATTTTACGTCAATATAAAATAGACGCCAACACCGGAGAAAACACGTCTAGGGTATCGGCCGAAACATTTCCATTGTCGTAAAAGGCAAATGTGGTGATTAAATTGACAGTACACTAAAAACAGATGTTCCTTAAAGAGAAAACTTCACGTATTTCCAATGAAACATCAATTATGATGACGTTGCTCGGGGCCACGACACCACCAGCAGAAATATCACCTGTATGTACCCATACAAACCTCTCATGACGAGGGTCTTTAAAACCAATAATTAATAAACGGTTGTGATAAAATATCAATTGTCACAGAGTCTTAAATCCGAGATACGTGATATACATGAATGTGTGATAATAGTGACTGATAACAAATCTCCGTGTCTGTCCAACTGTAATTACCGCAGTCCATTAGCAGCAAGGTACCTGTCGCGAGTGGGTAAATAGTTAACACTTTATCAATATTACAATGTCCACATACAAGCTCGCACTGAGGTCTGGACTGGTAGAGACGGGTAGATTTAGCAGAAAAATGAAAAAAGAAAACAGGAGCGAGCACGGGCAAATGATTCCGCTTACGTCACGTGTTGTATTACAGAAATACACATACATGTATCGACGCTCGCCTACACGCACAGTACGAATGTACAATTACCTGTATAGATCAACATTAGATACTTGGGGATTTTGAGGATTGTGGGCAAGGCCTTCTGTCAACATTCGGTTAGGTTGAAGGTATTCTATTTACAAAGACTGTTCACTGTCAGCCAGGGGAGCGGGATTTGAATACAAAATCTACGTTTTGTGGACGTTACTGTGTTCTGTCACCCGAAACCCGTGTAATCAATACAGCCCATGCAAGTCTATATTAGCTAGCAAAGTGACTAAACTGTAGAAGGAAATGAAGCGAGTTTCTGTGCTGCTTCAAATGATATTTTTTTTGCGATTTAATAACTGCCTTTTTCTCCTTTTTTGATAGTTTAGAAACTGGGTGACAGTCTAGAAGGGATCTTGGGATGGAACATTTAGGATTTTTAGAACCTACATCCACACTCTTGCTTCGGTGTCGTGTCCTTGTAGTAAGACAATGCTAAGACAAGTAATGCGTTTTGTTTGTTTGTTGTTTAACGCCGCATTCAGCAATATTTCCAGCTATATGACGGCGGTCTGTAAATGATCGAGCCTGAACCAGGCAATCCAATGATCAACAGCATGAGCATCAATCTACGCAATTGAGATACGATGGCATGTGACAACCAGGTCAGCGTGTCTGACCACCAGATCCTGTTAGTCGCCAACAAAGCATGGGTTGCTGAAGACCAGTTCTAGCCCGGTGCGTCACTGGGGATGCAAGCATGGGTTGCTGAAGATCAGTTCTAGCCCGGTGCGTCACTGGGGATGCAAGCATGGGTTGCTGAAGATCAGTTCTAGCCCGGTGCGTCACTGGGGATGCAAGCATGGGTTGCTGAAGATCAGTTCTAGCCCGGTACGTCACTGGGGATGCAAGCATGGGTTGCTGAAGACCAGTTCTAGCCCGGTGCGTCAATGGGGATGCAAGCATGGGTTGCTGAAGATCAGTTCTAGCCCGGTGCGTCAATGGGGATGCGAGCATGGGTTGCTGAAGACCAGTTCTAGCCCGGTGCGTCACTGGGGATGCAAGCATGGGTTGCTGAAGATCAGTTCTAGCCCGGTGCGTCACTGGGGATGCAAGCATGGGTTGCTGAAGATCAGTTCTAGCCCGGTGCGTCACTGGGGATGCAAGCATGGGTTGCTGAAGATCAGTTCTAGCCCGGTACGTCACTGGGGATGCAAGCATGGGTTGCTGAAGACCAGTTCTAGCCCGGTGCGTCAATGGGGATGCAAGCATGGGTTGCTGAAGACCAGTTCTAGCCCGGTGCGTCAATGGGGATGCAAGCATGGGTTGCTGAAGATCAGTTCTAGCCCGGTGCGTCAATGGGGATGCAAGCATGGGTTGCTGAAGATCAGTTCTAGCCCGGTACGTCACTGGGGATGCAAGCATGGGTTGCTGAAGATCAGTTCTAGCCCGGTACGTCACTGGTGATGCGAGCATGGGTTGCTGAAGACCAGTTCTAGCCCGGTGCGTCACTGGGGATGCAAGCATGGGTTGCTGAAGACCAGTTCTAGCCCGGTGCGTCACTGGGGATGCAAGCATGGGTTGGTGAAGATCAGTTCTAGCCCGGTGCGTCACTGGGGATGCAAGCATGGGTTGGTGAAGATCAGTTCTAGCCCGGTGCGTCACTGGTGATGCGAGCATCGGTTGCTGAAGACCAGTTCTAACCCGGAGCTTCACGGATCCACAAGTAATGTGAGGTGGTGATCATGGATGACACCACTGGGAAATGGTCCCCATTTGTTTCTTAGCAAGAGTGGCACAGCCGATGACTATGTAACTTCATACAGAAACTGATATTTTGCATGTGTATTGGAGTGACAACAGTTCGAACCCAGCTTCACATGAATTTTACAAATGTCACAATTTAAATTCGAGTTCGAGACAAGACGGTTGCCGATGTATGAATCGTTGTTGTTTTTTTTGTCTCGAACGTTGGACAGTGCACGATTACGTTATATATACTGGCTCCATACTGCATGTTTTTACAACCTATCAAGCGTACCAGCGATCGTTTCATTATGCCCATGCGAAGCTTATATCACGTGATCTTTACTCTCAGGCCCTTCAACTACTTGCTTGTTAAAGCACCAAGTGGTGGGTGAATAGGAACTTGTGAGGTCACGTGTTACTTTAGGTCTTCCAGTTTTAGGATATTGCTCTATGGTGTCCTTTATCACAAAGTTCGAATCTCTTTCAGTGTGTCTGTTCAGCGTTGTCAGCGTTGGTTCAGCAGGATTCCCCTCGGACGCCAGCGTGACCATCGCCCCGTATGGCTCAGTACAGACACCGACTGCTGGACAGGACTTCGTGCTCAAGTGTTTTATAGACCACGGTCTTTTCGAGTATGTTGAGGTGAGACGGACACCTGTTAAGGTGAAATGTATACTTGCTGAGGTGAAACGTGTACTTGCGGAGGTGAAATATATGCTTGCTGAGGTGAAACGTGTACTCCCTGAGGTGAAATGTATGCTAGCTGAGGTGAAATGTATGCTTGCTGAGGTGAAATGTGTACTTGCTGAGGTGAAACGTGTACTTGCTGAGGTGAAACGTGTACTTGCTGAGGTGAAATGTATGCTTGCTGAGGTGAACTGTATGCTTGCTGAGGTGAAACGTGTACTCCCTGAGGGGAAATGTACACTTGCTGAGGTGAAACGTGTACTTGCCGAGGTGAAATGCATACTTGCTGAGGCGAATTGTATACTTCCTGGGGTGAAATGTATGCTAGCTGAGGTGACATGTATGCTTGCTGAGGTGAAACGTGTACTTCCTGAGGTGAAATGTATGCTTGCTGAGGTGAAATGTATACTTGCTGAAGTGAAACGTGCACTTGCGGAGGTGAAATGTATACTTGCTGAGGTGAAATGTATACATCCTGAGGTGAAATGTATGCTTGCTGAGGTGAAATGTATACTTGCTGAGGTGAAATGTATACTTGCTGAGGTGAACCGTGTACTTGCTGAGGTGAAATGTATACTTGCTAAGGTGAAGTGTATGCTTGCTGAGGTGAAACGTGTACTTGCTGATGTGAAACGTATACTTGTTGAGGTGAAACGTGCACTTGCCGAGGTGAAATGTATACTTGCTGAGGTGAAATGTATACATCCTGAGGTGAAATGTATACTTGCTGAGGTGAAACGTGTACTTCCTGAGGTGAAATGTATACTTGCTGAGGTGAACCGTGTACTTGCTGAGGTGAAATGTATAGTTGCTGAGGTGAAATGTATACTTGCTGAGGTGAAATGTATACTTGCTGAGGTGAAACGTGTACTTGCCGAGGTGAAATGTATACTTGCTGAGGTGAAATGTATACTTGCTGAAGTGAAATGTGTACTTGCTGAAGAGAAACGTATACTTGCTGAGGTGACACGTGTACTTGCTGAGGTGAAATGTATGCTTGCTGAGGTGAAACGTATTCTTGCTGAAGTGAAACGTGTACTTGCTGAGGTTAAATGTGTACTTGCTGAGGTGAAATGTGTACTTGCTGAAGAGAAACGTATACTTGCTGAGGTGACAAGTGTACTTGCTGAGGTGAAATGTATGCTTGCTGAGGTGAAACGTATTCTTGCTGAAGTGAAACGTGTACTTGCTGAGGTTAAATGTGTACTTGCTGAGGTGAAATGTATGCTTGCTGAGGTGAAATGTATGCTTGCTGAGGTGAAATGTATACTTGCTGAGTCGAAACGTTTACTTTTTGAAGTGAACCGTGTACTTGCTGAGGTGAAAAGTGTACTTGCTGAGGTGCAATGTATACTTGTTGAGGTGAAATGTATACTTGCTGAGGTGAACCGTATACTTGCTGAGGTGAAACGTATACTTCCTGAAGTGAACCGTGTACTTGCTGAGGTGAAAAGTGTACTTGCTGAGGTACAATGTATACTTGTTGAGGTGAAATGTATACTTGCTGAGGTGAAATGTGTACTTGCTGAAGTGAAATGTATACTTGCTGAGGTGAAATGAATGCGTGCTTAAGTGAAACGTATACTTGCTGAGGTGAAACGTATTCTTGATGAGGTGAACCGTGTACTTGCTGAAGTGAAATGTATGCTTGCTTAGGTATAGCTTCTACCTGCAACTGGCTTATTAAACGACATAATCTTCAATCCATATCCGTCAAGTCGGACAAAAACATGTCTGCACTGCCAATACGTGTCGAATCATGGTCACACAATATCTACACTATGCATGTTTGTTATTGATTAAGCAATAATTAAGTTACAACACTTAGGCTAGTAAATAATTGATTCTGGATCATCATGGGTGAATGATATTGTTTTACGCCGTTTTAGCACTGCTCTCGTAATATCACGACAGGCGATATCATTAGGACCTTTACGCATTGTGTCCATGTTGGGAATCGAACCCGGAAGCGAATACTTTGTCCACTAGGCTACCGAGCAGCCCCGGATCGCCATGTGGGCGAGTGTACAAACAGGTCATACGATAAGAAAAGTTCCCCAGCCATGATCGTGTGTGACATGCGTGTGTAATTCTAGGTATTCTGGATGAGGAAATCGGAACGGGGCAGGGGGAATCTGGAGCCCATATTCCCGCCTGGGACAGGCTCAGACAGCACAACTCAGATCACTCCCGGTGTCACCAAATACAGCAAGCGGTCAGGCTCTAGTTCCCCAGGAAAACAGGTGACATATGCTCCACTTTCATAGACTTACTCTGAATATAACGCAGACAGTGGCGGCATGTCAATCATGTCAATTTTTTTAAAAAGGGGGTAGGAGGTCGAACCCCCTGAATGCCCCCTTGGTTCCGCCAATGCAAACTATTAACTTCAATGTGGACTCATCCCCTTGGATCTGTCAATGTCAGTTGTCATTTAAAGCAAAACATACAAGGGTTTAAAATAACGTCACATTCGTTCAGTAATGTGACTTCATATGTTGTTAAATTCTAATGTTCATTTCTTAATATTTATAAAGATAATCATGATTATACAATTTCAACGGAATGGCTGCAAATTTCGAGATGGCACTATAATCTTGTATTATAGATAAAATTCTTTTTTGTCAAATATATATATATATATATATATATGTATGTGTGTGTGTGTGCGTGTGTGTGTGTATTTGACAAAAAGGAATTTGTCAATACCAGTACTTAAATGAGATGAGAAATTAATCAAAACCACCACTACCAGTAAACTACATATACTGCTAAAAAAAAGTAAGGCCCATCAAGGCCGTGTGTTGCAGGATCCATCAGACAAAACAGAGTAACTATAGTCACATGGAAAACACCGGGTGTTCTTGAACATCATTCGTGTAGTACCTAGGTAGATTAGATACAGTCAACTAATTGATGATTCTTTTCGGTTTTAGTACTCTTTCCTCACGATACATTCTCTGACCTACAAAGATGATGGTGACTACGTTTGCGGTTTCTTCAGAGGCAAATACAACTTGAGCGGCATCTACGAGATGAACGTGGAAGGTGGGTTAAATCATGTTGTCCGGACACTACTCCGTGTGTGTCCCCTTCCCATCACGTCCGACCTCACCCACACCCCACAATTATAGTCAGAGAGGGTGAATAACGCCTCAGATGGCCAGTCTCGACTATACACCGAAGCAGATCATATTGGACCTCGAGGAATAAGTGGTGGAGATTATTTTTAAATATCACTGAAAAAACAGTTATAAAGTAGGATGTGCGCTGTTTTGAACAGTACTTCGCACATATAACGCAACTGACTGACTGAGTTTGGTTTTACGCCGCTTTTAGCAATATTCCAGCAACATCACGGCCGGGGACACCAGAAATGGGCTTCACACATTGTACCCATGTGGGGATTCGAACCCAGGTCTTCGGCGTGACGAGCCAACGCTTTAACCATTAGGCTACCCCACCGCCACCTTATATTAGACAAGTGATCCCAAAGACAGGCAGTACTTAGCTGTTTCAATGTAACCTCATTGGGGAAACACACCAGCGTTGTGGTGACACTTATAGATATACCATGTGGGTCCGCATTCTCAAAACGGTCTCAGCTCTAAGAAGTCTTAACTTTGATCGTAGCCAGTGTGTTAAGAATGGGCTTTAGAAGTTTGTAGAGCTACGAACGTTTCGAGAATAGCTAGCCTAATTCCCACCAAGGACCTGGGTTTCTAGTACGCCTTAAGGACTCAAATCCCGGGGGTACGAGTGAGTGAATCAACATTGCTGATGGCCGCATCAGCAATTGTGCTTCTACTCTCGGTGATCTGGACTACAAGACTGAAGTTGTGTGCTGGCTGTTCCAGGTGGGCCAAATATATCTTCAATGGTCACGGAGAAAAATGGCATTGTGGGATACCATGAACTGATCAAAGTGGAGTACATCGCCCGACCCCCCCTCGACAGCGTCACGTGGTATGGTCCATCGGGAGACGTACTCGACACCAACACATCCAGGTCAGGTACCGACACTGTCGAAACTTCATGTGATGTTGAATAATCTGTCAACCATTCTGTCATACACTTTCTGTACATTCTTTTTGGAGAAGTTTCTGTAGAACATTCGCTGTTAAAAAAGCTCTGTGAAACAATTGTTTGTCAAAATATTTCTGTCCAACATTCTCTTCTTTCCATTTATACCAATATTCTTTGTTGAATATTCTCTGACAAACACTTTCTGTCCAATATTCCTTATCCGTCATTCTCTGTCAAGCATACTATCAAGCATTTTTATCTACATTTCTCTTCTGAACATTCTGTATCTGCAACAGAATGTTTAACATGCCCCGTCAAATGTCTCTGACAAGAATTCACGATCAAACAATATCTCTCAAACAATCTGACAAGCACAAAAATACTGATGCAAACAATTTCCTGTCAAACATTGAGTGTCAATATAAAGCATTCTTTGTCAAACACTTTCTATGGAGATTTAAAAGGCTGATAATCAGTGCAAATGTGGGTCCAGCAGATCCTGGCGCAGACACCCCCAGTTCTATTCCTCATGTATGGTTTGTCTGTCTAAGGGTGTACATCAAGGAGTCGCAGCAGAGTGATGCGAGGGGGTTGGTAATCCTACACATCACCAACTTCTCTCGTGACGACAAGGGGGTGTACAGCGTCGTTCTCAGCAACGACGTGGGAGATGACAATGTGGAGTTCGAGTTCCATGGTAAGCTGACAGGCTGAGCTACCGTCTCCGTGGTCTTGTGGCTATCCCGGATAAGACGTCAGGATCAGTGACAATCTGAACCAGTTCTGACCCCTAAGTCCTTTCATAAATCATAATGGGAAATAACGTCATCGGGTGGGTGATTGATGGAAATTGTGATGCGATTTTGTTGATACAACACGACGAAAGAACGTACACAGAAGGGAATATCATGTGCAATAAAGTGAGTGAGTATGGTTTTACTAGATTCCAGCAATATTACGGCGGGAGACACCAAAATTAGGCTTCACACATTGTACTACTGTGGGGAATCGGAACCGGGAAGAAAATACATGTACAATATTTCCAATGCGTCAGTATTGATACATACTATCATAATGTAGAATGTGGACGTGGTGTGTGTTGCAGCGGACCCCTTCCTGGAGGTCGTAACCCCCAACTCCACCACGTTCCCCCACGGCTCCACTGCAGTGTTCATCTGTAGGGCCACCAACTTCAGGAGCCAGCCCATGGTAAGTACATGACAATATGGACCGATACAGTATTCCCAGAAATTATTGAGAAAGTTGTTTCGGCAAATTTCTACTACATGTATATATACTAAAGACGTTTTACCTAAATGAATATGTTGAGATACGATTCTCTTACATTCTAAATGTCTTTCCAGTACTTTGTGAGACCTTCTTGCCCTGCAATACACGACTGAATGCGCCTAGGTGCACTACCGATCAAAGTTTGGAGGACATTGTGGGACAGTGTATATCCCATTATTCGACCACTTCTTTTATCCTATTCTCAATATTTCTAAGTCCTTTTTGGTTTATTCTGTCCTTCATTAGTCCCCACACATTCTCAATAGGGTTCAGATCTGTGTTGTAGCTGGGCCAGCCTAAAACTTGAACATTTTCGTCCGACAACCAGTGTTTTGTGTAGCCCGTATTATCTTTATACAGTGTTCGGACCGTTGGAAGGAGGTGACCATTTAGGATGCCAACATATCGTTCCTTTGTCAAATTTCCAGTGAAAATGTACAACGGCGTCACTCCATGTGATGGTATCTCACCCCACATGTGAAATTTCGGGCTATGTTTTGGGCGTTGGTAGATAGGTGAAACCGTTTCACGGTATCTTTTGTCCAAATGTTCATAGTTCCGAAAAACACAGACAGAACTTTCATCAGAAATGTAAATTATCCCAATCTTGATTTTGGTGAGCCCTGCACCAGTTTAAACGTCTTTCTTATTGTGCATGTTTCATCAATGGTGAGGGAATTCAGCGCTTTGTCACCCAGTTAAGACTTTGTAATTCTTGTCTCAGGTTTTCATTACATACCAGAGGACTTCCTCTATTAATCATATCATTTCTGATATCCGCAACGCTTTTCAATTTTCTCCTACTCACAATCTGACCAAGTTGCCGGTGATCCGTAGAACTGAACGTCCTTGGCCTCCCTGCCCCTGTCATGTGCCCAGTCCCAAATCCTGACTGAATAATCTTCAAAATTCTGTATACTGTAGACAGAGGAAGGTCATGTCTACCAGATATCTCTTTTTCATTAGTCACATACCCTTTCAAAAAACACCCAGAATTAGCTTTCTTTTTTCTTCTGCTGTCCATTCTGCCATGTTAACAAAGGAAGCCGTCTGCTACACCAGGGGAGATAACTCTTCATGTAGTAAGGTTCATTCTTAATTATCCTACAAGGGTTGCCTACCATATTGAGTACCTTACTACATAACGTAACACCTACTTTATCTTTGGAAACGAAGATTTTCTCAATACTTTTTGGGAAAACTGAAACTATAGTCAATGATTGCCTGCCACCAACTTCTGGAGCCAGCCTGTTGTAAGGATAACACGGACCAATAACGGCAGCCAATAATTGTCTGTGCGGGCTTTCTCCGACTTCAGTACTTATGAAGTGATATGCCCGCTGTTTTGGCTTTGGGGACTTAGTTAATACATACAATCGCATAATGCGTGGATTCTTGCTTATGATGTAAAACACACGAGTGTCTGGTTCAGATCCATTATAACAGTCCGCCGTCATAACGTAAACATCGCTAACTGCGGCGTTAAACAAACAAACAAACAAACATTAATGTTGCGTATGTTCCATTAGTTCATGTGGCACCATGGTTGGGCGAAGAAAGATTTGCTGGAAATGCCTGCTACCAGAAGCGTAACCTTGGCAACAGAGAAAAGCATGACCAGCAATGTGACCACGTGGATGTCGACGGTGACGATCCGAGGCGTCAACTACAAATTTATTGGCGTCATTGAGTGTGCAGCGTCCGAACTCGGGGAGGTGTACGCCGATAGCAACACCATCAACGTTATTGGTACGTGTCTATAGAGCCTTTGCATTCAGGTCCAACAATACTGCGACATTATTCAGTATTCATGCCTGTGGACTAGAGTAGGGTGAAATCAGGGTTAGGGATTGGGAGTTTGGTTGTCTCGGTCCTTACTATGCTAAAATGCATTGTTTATATTCATTCACTTGGATCCATAATTCACTTTTGTAAGTTTAAAAAAGGCGTTGTTCGTCATATTAATCACTGGTTACCTTGCTCGTTCTTTCATAATTTACAGACCACCTACACAAAGCTTGTCATATAGATAATAAACATATTGTTGACAAGATCTTGTTTAATATCATCTCACTCACTGACTCACCAAAAATCCATCAACCCATCGCCTAGACCATACGGGTTTATCCACAAGCCACTCTTACGCAGCTGGAATATTACTAATTGAGGTGTTTAGCGACAACAAAAATGAAGAAAAGAACTACATTATGAGTATTTGACGTAATCAAGATCGCACAAGATCTGGATTTATTGTTCTATATACTATTCACACTTTGCTGAGGGTCAAATCATGGATTCAACAGAAAACTATGATGTGGGGGTCAAATTTGGTTTAAATTATATCTAAGCTTATTTTAAGCATGGATCCTAGGTTTCAGTTTGTCATTGTTTCTTGTGGATCCCATACCTGCTATTGACAGGTGCTGTGTGCTTGTGAATGAATTGTTCCATGATTTGCAAAATGGTTGATTGGTGCCATGAAAACCATTTTTATGGTTACTCATGTATCAAGTGCATAATGTTAGATTAAAGTGGCTGTTTGCCTAAAGAGGGGTTACCATATTATTATTTATCCAGTTTTAAATGGATACAATTTCAAATTATAAATCTGCGTTTAAGTAGTGTTGTGAATCATTGTGATCCTTAGCAGAGTGTGAGTAGTATATATCGCCATGTCTGTGTTCTAGGGTCGCCGATGATCCAGTCCAGCATGAGGTCTGTGCTGGCGCAGTTGGGGGAGACGGTGGAGTTGCAGTGTAACGTGTCGTCCAACCCGCCCCCCACACAACTGCAGTGGCTGTTCAACAGGAACACGGTCAAGTTCCAGAAGTTTGCCGCGTGGGTATCCTCATTTATATATAGAACTTTCTCCGTTTCATGAAGTCAATCATAAAATTAAAATTATTAAAAAATAAATAATTCAAGTCATTTTGGAGAGATTGAGAGATTTCACTGACCTTTGGTTTTTGTTCGGCTTTTATATTGTATGCCTGAACTGGAAGATTGACCAGATTTTTCAGGAAGAGTTATCTTTCCTTGCCAAAACTAAACTCCACGTTTCAACACGGGTAAAATGTGTTTTCCGTATAATTAATTCTAAATACGATAATACACGTAGCACGTTGCCGTTTTGAATAAAATATGTATTTTTCCTTGATACGTCGCTCATTATCAAAGAAACTTAAGGCAAATTGATTTCCCATCAGATGCATGGCAGTTAAAAACAGTTACTTTCATTATGTACAAGAAGATGGACTATTAGGTGATGATGGCACAAGTGAAATATATACTCAGTATGATGCCTATTTTACAGCAATTGGACATCGCGAGACGTCACTATGGAAATGAAACATGTGGTGGAAGTGACAACAACAGAAGACTTTGGAATCTACATGTGTCAGGTGACCAACATGTACGGCACCAATGGCTACAGTATCCACCTCATCGGTAAGAACATCTGCTACCTTCATGTAGTTCACAGCGGTGAGATTACCTAGCCCCTGACTGTAATCCATGCATACACAGGGGATCACCATTATGTACTTGTAGTTCATGCATACGTGGGTGTGAATATCTAGTACCTTCCTGTAGTTCATGCATGTATAGATAAGAACACCTCGTACCTTCCTGCAGTTCATGCATACGTGGGTGTGAATATCTAGTACCTTCCTGCAGTTCATGTATGTATAGATAAGAACACCTCGTACCTTCCGGCACTTCATGCATACGTGGGAGTGAATATCTAGTACCTTCCTGCAGTTCATGTATGTATAGATAAGAACACCTCGTACCTTCCTGCAGTTCATGCATACGTGGGTGTGAATATCTAGTACCTTCCTGTAGTTCATGCATACATCGGGGAGCACACAGTACTTTTCTGTAGTTCATGCATACATCGGGGAGCACACAGTACTTTTCTGTAGTTCATGCATACATCGGGGAGCACACAGTACCTTCCTGCACTTCATGGATACATCGGGGAGCACGCAGTACCTTCCTGCACTTCATGCATACATTGGTGAGAACATTTAGTGCCTTCCTGCAGTTCATGCATACATAGATAAGCACACCTGGGACCTACCTGTAGTTCATGCATACATTGGAGGAGCACATTGCACAATATCTAGTACCTTCCTGCAGTTCATGTATGTATAGATAAGAACGCCTCGTACCTTCCTGCAGTTCATGCATTCGCGGGTGTGAATATCTAGTACCTTCCTGTAGTTCACAGCGGTGGGAGTGCCTAGCCCCTGTCTGTAGTTCATGTATACATCGGGGAGCACGCAGTACCTTCCTGTAGTTCATGCATACATCGGGGAGCACGCAGTACCTTCCTGTAGTTCATGGATACATCGGGGAGCACACAGTACCTTCCTGCACTTCATGGATACATCGGGGAGCACACAGTACCTTCCTGCACTTCATGGATACATCGGGGAGCACGCAGTACCTTCCTGTAGTTCATGCATACATCGGGGAGCACACAGTACTTTTCTGTAGTTCATGCATACATCGGGGAGCACACAGTACCTTCCTGCACTTCATGGATACATCGGGGAGCACGCAGTACCTTCCTGCACTTCATGCATACATTGGTGAGAACATTTAGTACCTTCCAGCAGTTCATGCATACATAGATAAGCACACCTGGGACCTACCTGTAGTTCATGCATACATTGGAGGAGCACATTGCACATCGATGTAGTTTACTCATACATCCGCGAGAGCACTAAGTACCTTCCTCTAATGCATGCATACATTAGAGGAGAACATTGCACATCCATATAGTTTACTCATACATCGGCGAGAGCCTTAAGTACCTTCCTCTAATGCATGCATACATCAGTGGGAACATATAGCACCTTCCAGTGGGAACATATAGCTCTCAACCCTTGTGTGTATTACCGATGTTGCAGGGGCCATGTACAACTGGTGCAGGGGCAGATTGTGCCCCAAGGACAAGCTCTGTGACGAGGAAAACATCGTCTGCGTGTGTCCACAGGGATATGCCGAGAACAAGGAGGGCGTCTGTAAAGGTGACTCCAGTATTAGGGCCAACACATACGTTGGTGTTATAGAGCGCCCAGAGCGGTGAACGTGAGGTCGGGCTCAGCTGTCTATTGGCCACAGTGCCCTGACGTGTCCGGACATTGGAACAGAGCTGTCTGGATATAGCTGTTAGATTGCTGACTGCGGTTTAAAATAAGATTGACTCACACAGCCGGTATGTGTCAATCGACCATGGTTTGTCCAGACGAAGGTGTAGAGCTGTCCTAATATAGCTATGACGCAAGTTACCGACTGCGTTAAACACCACTGACCCACCCACCGGTGTGTGTCCCGAACAGTCGATGTGGACGATGACGTAAAATGGTTAGCTTTAGGTCTGCGTTCTCTTCTCCACTTCGAGCCCCTGCCTCTGTGTGGTAGGCATGTTAAAAGTTGGGTAAATATCTTCTCATTCACTGTTGGCGAACTGGCCCAATCAGAGTCTGGGTTTTGTGCAGCCGCCAGACCGAAGCCTAAAGGACAATGGTGGTACGTCCTTCTATGGTAACGTCACAATATGAGCGTATCAAGACATAACATCGTGCTACTAAAATGATTTCATGTCCAAAAGATTAACCACCTCATTAGTTGTAGTTAAGGACAACTGAACAATGTGTATAGAATTCTGTACTTTGTATTCCAGACTCTGCGCCACCGACACAGGCAGTGGAGACGTACGTGTGGGCGGCCGTGGGCGCCAGCAGCTTGCTCGTGGTCATCTTGGCCATAGGCAGCATCCTGTATATGTGCTGGAAGAGACGGAACAACCTGGTCAGTACCCGGCATTTGTAATTCCCTCACGACCTTTCAGGTAAAATGAGCATTAACGACCTGTTCAGTATGTTAGCGCATATATAGTGGTTGGTTGGTTTGTTGTTAAACGCCACACTCAGCAATGTTACATCTATATGGCGGCGGTCTGTAAATAATCGAGTCTGGACCTGACAATCCAGTGATCAACAGCAAGAGCATCGATCTACGCAATTGGGACACGATGACATATGCCAACCAAGTCAGTGAGCCCGACCCCGTTAGTCGTCTCTTACAAGCCTTGGTTACCGAAGACCAATTGTAACCCGGACCTTCACAGGCATGTAAATAGTGACGTGCATGCAGGCGCGTGCGGCTGCTCGTGCAACCAAAGGACGCATGTCTGTTTGCCGACTATCTGTAGCAAACAAAGATACAATGCCGCAGTTAGACATGGACACCAAGCACAGACACATTACCCTAAGCAGACCAATTCTTGTTTTACACATCCCCACGAGATTTAGCATCCACAAACAAAGACAAAGCAATGTATACGCCTGGCCCAATTATTAACATGCTTTGTACTGACACCATTTGGCTTGTCACGGTATAGCTTGTGTGGTTCAAACAGTTCCAGAATGTTGGATATTAGAAATCGGGAATCCCCCCCCCCCCTTTTCTATAACGTCTGTCACAATTTTCATTACACAAACGTGAACATAACATCATTTCTTTTTGTTTCCAGCTCAAACAGAAACAAGTCAGGTCGGACAGATTCGCACTTACCAACGCAGTATACTCCCACGCTCAGGTAGGCACAACCAGTTTTTGACCGAGTTCCTGTCTACTTTAACGAGGAGACAAGAAGTGGCCGCGATTGGACAACCTAATAAGAAGCATACATTAGTCTTCGGTATCGAATGAAATCATAAATATTTGGGACTCAATGAAATGTAAACTAAATATCTTCACTAATGAACACATTATAAGTTTATTGCACAAAACGTTCGGATGTCTGGTGTGGACGTCTTCATGTGTATTTGGATTAATTATGAATGACGATACGCATGTGCACTTGTGGCCGGCTGGACGGGCGTGGTAGACGCCTGCAGCACATTTTACAACGAGTCTTACATGGAATCAGCCATCGTGTTATTTCTTATATTCTGACGTTATAATACATACTGTCAACTTCCTCCCTAGTATGCCACTTCTAACATCTATGAGATTATCACGAGACCCAGTGACGAGTTCCCGCGGGAACGCCTGAGATTTCTCCACGCACTTGGAGTCGGCAAGTTTGGCCGGGTAATGAAGGCGGAAGCTCTTAGCATCAACCGCACAGGATCCTGGGAAGATGTAGCAGTCAAAATGTGTCAAGGTCAGTTTAAAAAAAAATGCATCAAAGATGATACGTGTCTATGTGAACATTCGCCAGTAAACATCGCAAATTGTAAATTCTCAGTACGAGCGAGCGAAGCATTAACAGTAGCCTTTTTATGTCCCTATCAAGGAAACTAATACTGTTCTCCAAATGGAAAGTAAAACCAACAATGTCATATATGGTTTTGATATCCCATACACGCTGTCAGTACAGCCACAAGTTGTTAGATCTTGTTTATCTGTAATGGCTTTATTTTGTTAATATTTAAATGTTAGGATGAGGTGAAAAATATATAAAAACTCCCTCTGCATGAACGCAAAAACCCGTCCATCTTCCATTCAGTTTTAGGCGTGTTTGTCACGTAGTGACAAGATATTTCGCCATTTCGTCACGGGGAGGTGATTAATACCTGCGTCTAAACATCTGAGTTGTATGGATCGTTGTACCTACGAAACAGATTTCTGTTCACAATGAAGCCTGATATTGTTTGGATATATTTTTCGTACGTAGCTTTATCTCTGTCATGAATGTATGAGCCTTGGTTAGGAATTAGTAGTAGTAAGAGGACTCAAAGGATGCTATAAGAATGCCAGGTATATTGCGCCTATCTGTACGTTAATATATCAAAATATATAACATTATCAGTTTTCCTTCCCTCCAACGTTCTGTACTACACGAAAATAGACACATCTGATTGCATTAATGACAATAGTAAAACACTGACAGGAACCAGTCTTTGTGTCAAGACGTGAAAAATGTATATTTTCTCTTCGGGCTAAATGTGTGTTTCGAAGCCTCTTGGAAATATGTTTTTATTTTTTATTGTTTGAATTTTGGTTGAAATAATATTTACGTGTTACAATATACCGAAGATAGGGAATAACGTCGGAAGTCGATACGTTTCTGTACTGGAGTTTCTTTATCTAACTACCGAACCACGTACTGGCATTGACTCGTTTGTCCTCGCTGTTCCCAGAGTCTGCCACAGATCTGGACAAAGAGGATCTGTACAATGAGCTGATGATCATCAGGAAAATCCCCAAACACATCAACGTCGTCAGCTTCTACGGCGCCTGCACATACGGAGGTAGGTCGTCCTTGTGTGGTGTTCGTGTGACGTTTGTGAATGCGAGACAGTGAATGTCATCAATGAGGTGGGTGGCCTAGGTCAGACATCACAGTGGCTGATAGTATGAATAACGATCTTCGAAAGCAGCAACACCAGCTGCCACATGAGATACACCGTGTAATATTCTAGTCGCCACTGCCGATACGTCTACGATACATTCGACCACATGGGTCTGATGCGGCCGTTGACCCACTCCGACCTTCTGCTCACTTGGAAGACGCTCTATCCACTGCATGATCCTTCACAGTGTCACGACAGTTCTTTTGTCCAAGAGTCTCCTCGTGGTAATACACCAAGGCACCTTACAACCCCATATTAGGAAATGTGCAGTAGCCAGTTAAACATGCATCCCTGCTTTTCAGAGAGACCAAGAAGCATTTGTTTTGTCTGATAGCAATTCGATATTTACATACTTGACAGTTCCGGGATATAAAGATGACTCCTGTCTTTGAACGAAAGAGTTATCTTTCAATGATCTGTATCAGGGTAGTTGCTCATTAGTTTGAGGCAGATTTCTCAATGGTGGACTTCTGATAAGGTACAACATTGGTCTGAAGGTGTGTTTGTTTATCGTTCTGCAGTTAGCAATATTCCATCCATATGACAGCTGTGATCGAACCTGGAGTAAACAGGGGCGGTGGGGTAGCCTAGTGGTTAAGGCACTCGCTCGTCACGCCTAAGACCCCGGGTTCGAATCCCCACATGGGTACATTGTGTGAAGCCCATTTCTGGTGTCCCCCGCCGTGATATTGCTGGAATATTGCTAAAAGCGGCGTAAAACTGGAGTAAACAATCAATAATTGACGTTTTAAGCATGGATCTAGGCAATTATCTTTGTGTGTGCATACAGTGGGCTAATGGCTATGTACACGTGTAAAACGTCTTGCGTTACAGAGCCTCTCCTTCTCATCTTGGAGTATGTCCCTGGCGGGGATCTGCGCAACTACCTGCGCAGACGCCGACCTGCCTACGACAAGACATGGGAGAGTCCAGTCAGTGTACATGAGAGCCCCCCTAGCTTTGGAGGAAGTGTCCAAAGATGATGGAGAGCTGACGGCCAAAGATCTACTGTCCTTTGCTTTACAGACAGCCAGAGGAATGCAGCACCTTGAAGCCAACAGCGTATGTGTCAGAGTGTATATGAAATACAGAAATATGTTTAATCAGAGAATATACATAATCAGAGAATCTGCATAACTATTACCCAATATATTAACCGCTGGTTCGGGAAGACTTAACGGAATTGATTTCTTTGGCTGACTGCGGCGTAAAACACCCCCTACACCATAGTTTGACGACAGTGTTACTGATTTTTTGCTTGTTATGCATCGTGGTTACAGATCGTACATCGTGACGTCGCTGCCAGGAACGTCTTGGTCGGATACAACTGTGTGTGCAAGATCTCGGACTTTGGTCTCGCGAGAGATGTAGAGGGCGTGGACGTGTACGAGAGGACGTCCAAGGGGCCGCTCCCAGTCAGGTGGATGCCCCCTGAAGCTTTGATGGAGGGGTTCCACAGTCACAAAGCGGACGTGTGGTCCTTCGGGGTCTTACTGTGGGAGATCGTTACACTAGGTAGTCAAATATTTCATTCATAATTCCTTGATTGCATAGTGCTCGATATTACATATTGATCATTTTAGAAATTTGAGTTCGGTGTTTGATAATAGGTGATCCACACAAAGAACTGTTCTTCGTTAATGTCATAACGTGTACCTTTTAATCCACAGGTGAAAATCCGGGTTAGCATTGCTTTTCGGCAACCCATGATGCTTGTCTTAAGAGGCGACTAACGGGATCGGGTCGTCAGGCTCGCTGACTTTGTTGACACGTCATGGCATCCCAGGTGCTTAGATGGATGTAAATGCTGTCGTTCACCGGATTGTCTGGTCCAGATTCGATTATTAACACACCGTCGCAATACAGCTGAAATATTGCTGAGTGCGGTGTTAAATAAAGACAAACAAACTAATGTTTTAATCCAACATCCCGGACCATATGGATCTGGAAACACACACACACACACACACACACACACACACACACACACACACACACACACACACACACACACACACACACACACACACACACACACACACACACACACCACCCCACCCCACCCTTACATCCAGTCACTCACTGATGTATCTCTGTGTAGGAGCCAGTCCCTACTCCACGATGACACTGCGAGGGGTCATTGACGCCGTTGTTGCTGGGAAACGTCTGGAGCGACCTCAGTACTGCATGGACGAACTGTAAGTGTGAAGCCAATTCCGGTGTTTGCTATCAGTTGGATTCTGTAGGAATATACACAAATCACGTCAGTATAGAAGGGATCTTATCGGGATTCTGATCCAGTACCCAGTACCCCCAGTACCCCCAAATTTCTACAAACCTACAGAAAAAGGGGATATATTTGTCTGATTACATATCATGGCGTACATGTTCACCTGCAAGTAGGATGAATGCGAGGACATGACATGAGAATTCCGCGGCAGAATTTGTTTGTCTTGTTCCGGAGTATACAGGACTACCGTGGGGTAGGTGTACAAATAAAATATCTCTCACTCACTGCCCACTACCATGTAGCCTACCCACCATGGTAGATGAGAACTTAAATATAGCATAGCAAGATGCGATCTGCTTGGGGAACTTCGTTGCAAATGAAGAACAAGTTAATTTGTTTACCGTTAAAACAATGGGATTCACTTTGAAAATACCGCCTCGGGCTCAAGATAATTTGAAATGTGAACGAATGTGGAATTGTGCTCATAGTGTGTGGCCCAGTTTGCGCATATAGTGCCCATCAATACCCATCACCCTTGAGACGTGAATAGACTGAGCCAGTCATCAATATTCATCGGTGGCGGCAGGAATTTACACTGATTTCACAATTTATGTTGCCCAGGTACTCGCTGATGAGCAAGTGTTGGGAACATCAGCCTCAAGACCGGCCCTGCTTCAAAGAGCTCGTGCAGCACGTGGAGTACCTGCTTGAGAAGGAGGCGGACTACATACAGCTCGACCAGTTCCAAGAGGCAGTGTACATGGTGTTGGAGCCCGATTCCCAGGACGAGAAGCTATAAGAGTTGTCGTTCTTGGATACTACGTAACTGGAACTGGAGTCGAATTTGATTAACTAGCTGTCCTCGTGTGCATCGTGACATGCATAATTAAAAGACGTGCAAGCCTGAACTATGAGGCTTAAATTGGGAGAACCTACGAATGTTGTCGTTTCTGGATAACGACCAGTGTCTTACCTTGTGATATTGTGTATCCACTCATTTAGATAAATTTTCGTACACAATTATTAACATAGCAGTTGGCAATGTATAACTTCATACGACAGTGAATTCCAGAAAGGTTGAAAGGTCACATGGCAGTAAATAAACGCAGTTCCAACCAAAATACTTCAGTGGATCGTGGCACTGACAATGTTTGTCTTTTGAAATCTTTCCAGTTGATATTCACAACGGATGTACTGCTACGTCAAAGAAGAAGAATTGGAAACGACAGAGGAAAAAGTTCTGTGAAAAATTGTTTGGATCAAGTGGTGGTCGGTTGACCAATTAAAATGGGACTTGGTAACACGATCTGAGGCTCGTGGTCAGTCATCTTAGCTTGATGTTGGCAATGGAACCTGTGCTACACCCTCACTGACCATATCAAATGTTCATTCATCATTGTTTGTTAAAAATGGCCTCGTCACAGGTTTTTTCAGTCTCTATTCATGACACACTTCTGCTTTCCATTGAAGTGAAATTATATTTTCATTTGAACGCAAACACTTTACCAGGACTATTTTCCTACAAGAGTTATCTCCCTGGCATTAACACGTCCTATCTATGCCCTTTTTTTAAGTATCGGTTCTTTCCATTTCGTATTTTTGTGCAAATGTTTCCATGTAAACTGTACATACCTCTCGTCAATTGAGATTGAAAGAAGTTGACCATTACACCAATGTAAATACTTCTATTGCCCTACAATATTCTCTAATATTTCTCTTTGTATATTTTCATGATTTACTTTATCTCTTGTTACATTTGTAGCTATACTATTTTATACAAATAATTACACACAACTTGAACGTATTGTGTTATGAAGTGTATACAACGCGTCTCTTGAAATACCATGTCGCTCTCATCTCGTGACGTGCAAAGGAGGACACCTGTTGATGAGGGAAGCAAGACTTGTTATTTGACACGAGCAGTATCGGCTATTTATCATCTTCAGCTGGCTTCCTTGGGATTTGTCTGGATGGGATCAAGCGGCATGTCGTGATAGGTATCGCAACAAAATGACTTCACAAAGCGTTGTGGACCATGGTTAAAGCATGCGTTACCATGACATCTCATGCGAATGTTCCCGCTTATTACTTTGTCTCTGAAGACGGACACGTGTCCTCTTCACACTGTGAAAACGAGGTAGAAACTGAAATAGTTGGACCGATGACTTTGGATGATAAGTAGAATCGAACCCTCGACTTCTTTAGATATCAAATTTAGCATGTCTTAAATGTCTGGGAGTTTAACACTGGGATTGTCTGTGAAGTGCCGCCATTCCATGCTTGAAGGTGCAGTTATATTGTTGAACGCCACGCGAAATAATATATCGCCTGATATATTCTCAGTACTACATTGTATAGAAAAATCGTAGCATGTTTACCACGTGTCACAAACAATTATAAAGGGCCCACCCTGGTCTCCGGTTCCTCAGTGCTGACTATAATGGCGATTGGTTGTCACCCGGTGAAACGTTGCTTGTGTTATCAACCACCGGTTTTCCTAGTCCATTCAGACGTGATATAAATATAATATTGCCTGACTGTGTAGTTAATCAGTTACCACCGTCTCCATGGTAGGCTGTTAAATCGTCTTTCCACGAAGGCTAATGTCTTTTGTCATACCAAAAGATGTTAAAGGACGGTACTTAATGTTTCCCTGCCTGGCGCTCGGCGTTGAGGGGATGAAACAATGAATGATATGTTCAGACACCATACCTGGCCAAGCATATTCTTGTACATAGTGTAGTGTGTTGACAATGTGTACACAGATTGATTTGTTTACATATACTACTCACACTTTATTAAGGATCACAAAAAATCACAAGTTTACTTAAACGTAGATTTATATTTTGAAATTGTATCCATATCAAACTTGATAAATAATGATATGGTAGCCCCTCTTTAGGAAAACAATCACTTTAATCTAACCTTATGCACTTGATACATCAGTAACCATAAAAAATGGTTTTCATGGCACCAATCAACCATTTTGCATATCATGGAACGAGTCATTGACAAGTACACAACACCTGTCAATAGCAGGTATGGATCCACAAGATGGAATGAAATACCAGGATCCATGCTTACAGTAACCCTCGATTCTTAAACCAAATTTGACCCCACATCATAGTTTTCTGTTGAATCCATGCTTTGATCCTTAGCAAAGTGTGAATAGTATACATGTCAAAGTATTTAGAGCAGTATTTGTGCAGCCCACTCTGCTTGTTGTGAAGACGGCTCAATCTGATATTTCTTGTTGATAAAGTGATATTGCAGTTTATTGAATTAATATTACAGAATTAGTGTTAACCGAAGCATCCTTGCTTATTCCGGAAGTGTTGCTCTACCCACAAGGGCATGAGGTTGAGATTAAAATAAGTATTTCTTTCTGGATAGTTCATAAAAGAAAATAGCGATACGTTTAATATTACGTGATATTGAATATCCATACGATTTTAAAGTTGTTATCAAGACTTAAACTGTCTGCACCTTTCAGTACCGACAGCTCAAAAGAAGTTAAGCATAGTTCATATGACTATAGCTGATGTACGATGTTGGATATTGCACATATTGGATATTGCATTGTGGATGTAACGTAACTTATGCTGGCTAGTATATATCGATTTGCAGATGAACTATCACTTCAAGTGCTGATGGTATAGCTTAGCTTACACTATGTTGCCGTTACAGAAGCTGCTGTTTTAGTAGTGTTGATGAAACCTTTAGTTATTTCTGTTTTGTTCAACAAATTTCATTATTCAGTCATATAATACATTTTTGTTTCTGTATTGTCCGATATATTTTTCATCTAATATATACTTATATGTACGTTTTGTTTACTTCAAAGTTTTATGTTGTATAAAATGTAAGCTGAAACGCATAATACCTTTGTTTCTTCTCGTTTACATCAGACGTGAATAAAAATGTTTCAACGATAATCGGTTCATATGTTTCGATCCAAGAAGTACGTTTCCTTGTTTCAGAAAATGATAACTTTATGCATAACATGTTGCATTACAAGCACACAATCCTTAACAGAATCCCCGACCGCGTCATACCAAAAGACGTTAAAATAAGGTACTTGTTGGACCCTGCCTGGCGCTCGGCCTTAATGGGTACAACAAGGACTGGTCGGCTCGGAGTCAGTATACTGTGTCTGAGTGGGGTATTCATGCTTCACTGCGGAATGGTATCTCATACGGCTAGCACTATAAAACTAGCTTAAGTCTGGGCTATTACAAGCAGCCGCACATACACATACACACGCATGCGCGTCGTCATATGAGCGAAATATTCTCAAGCACGACGTTAAACCTAATTCCACCACCACCACCTCAACAGAATCCATCCGTGGCGCTTGGAGGCAAACACTTCGACACCAGAAAAGAGCCATTCTCGACTAACAACCGGATACACTGTCGACATGTATCTGTATTCCGCGACCAGCCAGTGGTGCTAATTTAATCCTTAGGTTTGTATAGCTCTCAGTAATATTCCAGCTATATGATGACTCGACCAGATAATCCTATGACTGTTGCCATGAGCATCTATTTACTCAGGTGTGACAAGACTACATGTATCAACCAAGTCTTCACTCCCGATCCCTCAAACCGCCTTTTCTGACACGTATATAAGTTGCTGAAGATCAACCCAAACTCGGGTTTACAGGACCGGTATGTTTACAATGTATGGTGGGATATTAAACAGAACAGTTGCCTACATTACCGTTTCTCTCACTGACTTGAATATAATGTGTGAAGAAATACAAAATGAATATTAACACGTTTGGGATCATATATTTTCATATATATGCATGTCAAATTCTGTATTCTATTTCATTCTCTGTTATCGTCCTGAGTAATGTTTTGCGTACTCTGCATATATGACAAATACAATTTCCGCAGTACGTTACTGTTTGTCTGGAGTAGCATGGCTTTATCGTATTCCACTCAGTGAACACTTCAAGTAGACTTGAGTTGGTCTGGTACACTGATCTGTTGGAGAGCCGGGGCTCTGAAGTCCTGAGTATTGAGTGGGAATCGATCTGCGTTCGTCGTCCCGAACATGTCCAGCATATCCACAAAAGCCGAACACAGCGTGAAGATTTGACGTTCAGCTTCAGTTTTGATACATCTACAGCTAACCGCCGAGAACCTTGAACCTCTCTGCTAGCCCCACCATCCAGATGAGCTGATCCGTGACTGACAACAAACGCAACTGTATCATTTAAACTAGTTTAGTTTAGTTTTACGCCGCACACAGCAATATCCCAGCTATACGGCGGTCATTTTACAAAGTCACACATCTATCTTACACTGTCAAACAAAAAGGATGTCATCGAGTGACAAGTAAAGACTTCCAGATCTAGCCACATCACGTGACGCTAAACTATGTTGATAATAGCTGTACTATCTACTAATGTACTGCATGGCGTGATGCAATCCATCTGTTATCCAAAACGCTCGGAAAATACGTATGGATGGTACGTGATATGTTACCGAGGGTCACTGGACTGAGGAACGGGGGAAGAGGTAGCTCGTCATGCCGAAGACCCTGATTCGATACCCCATACTGGTAGAATGTGTGAAGCCCATTTCTTGTGTCTGGCGTTAAACCAAACTCACTCACTCACCCAATGTGTGAGAGAGTTTAGTTTTACGCCGCTTTTAGCAATATTCCAACAATGTCACGGGGGACACACACATTGAACTAGCAATATCAATATTACCGCAATATGAACATTATATAGACTGGACAAGACAATCCAGTGGTTAAGACTGTGAATAACAGACCACGCCGTCGTGGTATGACGGCACACAATCAGTGAGTGAGTCTAGTTGTACGCCGCACTCAGCAATATTCCAGCTATAGGGCAGCGGTCTGTAAATAATCGAGTCTGGACCAGACAAGATAGTGATTGACAGCATGAGCATGGACCTGCTCAATTGGGAACCAATGACATGTGTCAACCAAGCCAACGAGCCTGACCAACCGGTCCCGTTAGTCGCCTCTTACGGCAAGCATGGGTTACTGAAGGTTCATTCTGACCCGGACCTTTACGGGTCGGCACACAATCACACGACCAGGATGTTTCTATGAAATGGGCAGGGGTTAATGTTTACTTTTTGCTTATGTCATCTTTACCTCAGTACTCGGCAATATTCTAGTTATATAATGGCGGCCTGTAAATAATCCTGCTTGGACCAGACGATGCAGTGATTGGCATCAACAGCATCGATTTACGCATCTGGGATTGCATATATATACATGTACATAGATAGATAGATTAACCACGTCATGTTGTCTGGTCGGTCGTTCCGTCTACGTATACTCACCTAGGGGAGGGCAACAAAAGCCGACCGGTCCGACGTTTCGGCACACCGTGGGAGGCGGGCACTTGTAATCACAGCTCAGTGGGTAGTACTTTGGCAGGTTCATCCTCAATGCTTCGGGGACAGTCTTACAGTCAAGCTCCTTCGTTGCTCGCATTCTCCCCAGGAAGTCGAGAATCTGCATGAAACTTGATGGTTTGGTTGGGTTGGGGGAGAAGAAAGGGAGCCTGTTTCGTCTACCAAGGACGACAGGAGGACGAGGAGGGTTAGAGCGGAACACAGCTGCAGACTGTACTTGGATCTGACTAGCTGGAGAGTTGAGCAGGTGCCAGTTGAGGGGAAGAACCAGGTTCCCCTTAGCTGAAGGTGCTGGGTTGTTATTTACCGGGGAATTCTGTCCCAGGGTGGGCGACCCAGCTGTCTGGGGTGTCGAGCGCCCATATTGTGGAGGGATGTTAGACGGAGCAAGGTAGGGATACTGTTGGCCCGGAGGGGGTACTAAGGGTGCTGCCCCCGGGGGTAGGAAAGAAGCAGCACCGGGTGGTAACGTATGTGGATATCGACCTGGAGATGGGACAGGGCTGAACGGGGAAGCCCCGGGTGGTAAGTAATACATGTTTGCCCGTGGTGTGTAGGGTAAAGGGGCCCCTGGTTGTAGATACGGAATCATAGCCCCAGAGGGAGGCAGCTGGGCTTGGTGCTGATGCAACTGGTGTGAGGCGCTGTTTGGAGCACCTGTGGGTGAGGGTGCGTTGACGGGTGCGGCAACATTTGGAGCTAAGGGTGCATTGACTGGAGCCGCAACGACTAGAGCTAGGGGTGCGAAAGCAGCACCCTGTGGGAGGTGAACAGGGTTGGAACTTGCCAGGGGAAGCAGGGAGCTCCTCGGGGCGGTGAGGGTAGGCAGGAGGGGTCCACCTTGGGGAGGAGATGGGGTCATACCCTGTGGCTTATGAGGGGTTTTAGGGTCGGGTAGGGGGAGGTAATCTGGACCCGGTGGGGCTTCTCCGGTGCCGGGGGATAGGAGACTCACTGCACCTGAAATGTCAGATGACAAGAAAACTTTATTCATGGATATGTGTTGATTGTTACCCGAGGCAAGAGTTCCCATGGTACAGTTATAAAAAGTATTCATTCTGTCATGCATATGACTATTTTTCCGTGTCGGTTGAATATATATTTTGAGTTCGAGGCATTGCAGAAGCATTCGAGTATTTGAAATCATATACTATTCTCAAAGGTAAATGTTTTGACTAAGACAACCACCAGACACGAGATACTAGCTATTGCGACACGGTCCAGAATAGGTAATATTTGAAAGAGACATGGGCTAGGAAAAGTGACAACAATTCTGGGGTCCCAGAAAAAGTGAAATGTTTGCCTTGGCAAAATATACCGGGGAACAAGAGAACCTTCACCTTTCATTTGTTATCGAAAATGGCTTAAATGAGCAATATCATGTTGAAATAAATGAAATTTACTGGCTCTTAGTTTGCACGCAAAGAACCCGTCTATTTCTATTCCTACATTTAGACACTTAGCTACTTATATATAAATGTAACTTGATTGAATGCTGGTACAATAGATTTTTAATATTTTTAGGTAAGGTAAGTGTTATCCGATCGCAACGTCATTTCAAAAAACATATTTCATTTAATATAGCTAAGTTCCTGGAAATTTCAACTCCCAAATAAAACAGCAATGACAAAATAAAAAAACAACATTATTCAGTCGCTCTCCAGTTTACATTGCCGATAAGCGTCTCAGGACACTAAGTTTTTAGAAAATGATATCCTGACACTTGATATCTGCCCTTTTCAAAAGTAACAAAAATCCATATAAACATAGTTTCTGAATCCATTCATTATGTACTTCTTTACCATGGCAACATTATCAAATCAGTATTTCCAGTTGTAAGTCAAGAAATGTCAAGAAACAGCATAGCACTGTACATTTTCCCGTCTACAAGAATTTTCAAATCAGTAACATACATTACAAACTGATAAACTAAAAGAAGGAAGGTGATCTCTAGAATGGACAAACACACAAATCATGGAAAACATATCCCAAAACTGGCAGTGGTTACATGCGTATACTCCACACTTCTTTCCTGTAACCTACCTGTGATTATGGCTAGTATGATACCAACCCTCAGCCGAGCCATGTTTTCAGACTCCGTGGACAATGCATCTGCAGTGAATTATGTCTGAGAGCTCGACAGCCTTATATATCCCCGGGGTGGTGGGTGGGGGATATTCTTGTCACCGACGCTAAGACTGCCTCTTGGATGATGAATGCAAACCCGCCCCGCTTCATTCCAAAGTTCTGTAGCCGTCAAGCATAAAGTAATCAGTTTGCAAGAAAGCAATTATCTCAGGAAGTTTTAGATGCACCTCTTTGTTCGTAAACTGACGTGTGTAGAGGAAAACGTGAAATGTTGTCACGAATTATCTGACTATTTATGAGCCTGTGTATCACCACGCATGTGTTGTTTTCAAGACCTGCTCCCCGAATGCATCATTGTTTAAAGCAACAGCTAAAATTAATTTTGGAAAACAAACAACCGAAAAAATATAGCTGTTTGCACGATTTCGACAGTTTTTTAAAAAAGTCTTTAAACATCTGTTCTAAACTTGGGCTGCGCGCTTATATAGAGCCACGACAAAGACACTTTGTGCTTTTTTATTTATTCAGATTATCTCTCTGCGTTTAAATGTATTTGAAATGAAGGTCGAATTATGAAAAAATGGCAATCGACAATTACCATAATCTCTGTTGCTAAGTACTTTCAAGTAGGACTACATTAAACATTGAATATAGCAAAGGAGTCTTCAAGCTATTTTAAAGTTAAATGTCGATAAAAACATATGTCGAAAAGTTTCCAAAAAAATGTCACTTTTATGCTCAGTAAACGCATACATGTAATGTTTAAACTTATAATGGCAGTTTCTCATTGAAACAACGGGCTGGTCTCCGTGTCACCCCACAATGCATCTATCAACCCAAGGAAGTTGTTACTGCGCATGTCAGCAACTGCTTATTAAGTAAATGCAGTGTATTCACAAACGACTGATATTTACCCGTTCAGTTTGGCTGGTGTGTAACTGTTTCAGCTTACTGATATTTACCTGTGTCCACAGGACATATTGAGGAACACGTGTAGTGAAATATATAGTGAGTGAGTTTGGGTTTACGCCGCTTCTAGCTATATTCATGAGATGTCACAGGAGCTGACACCTTAAATAACCTTCACACACAGTACCCATGTAAGGAATCTAACCCGTACGTTCGGCTTTAACCACTAGGCTTTTCCACCTCCCCATGTCAAGTATACAGGTGTGTTAGGATATTCCACCGATCCATATTTATGGCAGTATTTGTTGTTTACTTTAGTCTTCATTTGTGGTATGTTAAATTGGCTTGGATATAAATAATCCGATCTCTTGTTACATCCCTATCTATGTTTATGTTGACAACCCATGGTGAGCAATAATTTGACAATGTTATTTCATCCCAAAAATATTTTTTTCGCGTGCATGCTGAGCGTCTGGAAGTTAATGTGTTATGGATATTATAATACACATAACTGTAATTTCCATATTCCTGATTCAGATACAAATGTACCCTTTCAAGCAGTTTTTTATAAGGTTCAAAAGATATGCTCTCTTTTACATAATGGTGACTGTTAAATTTTGGTTGTTTCTATTTAATAATCACATATTCCAGCAACTGTTTGTAGCAACGTTAAACAACAAACAAACAACACTTTGTACAATGTTACCTGTGACAGAGAAACGATGAATTGCTTCAATTATGACTAGAATACAAAATGAATGAGAAGCCAAGTGACCATCACCTAGTTTGAAAAGTAAACCTGTGCCGAATAAAGTAAATATATTGATTTATATAGATAAGGTGTAAATCTTAAATGTAAAATTACATTTTCTTTAATAACTTTACAATGCCGATGTATTTGGAGATAATTTGGTGGATATTGATATTGCTGATGTAAGATATTTTCATCTGAATATATTTTATATGATACAATCAACTGAGAGGTATAGTTTCTTTGTCACTTTTTATCATGGTTCTGGAAGTGCCGTCCCCAAATCATAATGTTCACAGAAAATGTTGTTAATGTTTATTATTACACAATAAATGTCCGCGAAGGAAACCGCATACAAATTGTTTATGTCGCGTATATTGTTCCCAAATTAAAAAATAGAAAACATAACTGTTACACATCCGTTTACATTGTAACAAAACATGATGCTTGTCAGTTGCGTTGCCCTTCATTCACGCTATATTCATTTTAAGTGTGTTAGGGTTTTTATTGTTGAGAAAAACATGTTTTAGGCAAATATATTTATCACTGAAACTTCACAGGAAGACGCGCATGTACTCAGTGTGTGTTTGTAAGACTTGTCCAACGAAGGGATGCAGAAAATAAGCGCCATTGGCGGTGCCTCGCCATTGCAAGTCACAACTGATTCCCCCAGGGCAGGAACTGTGCATCACACGGATACAGAAATCATGTATAGCTGCATGTTAACTGCTATGTTTAGCTATGCAAATTCTGATATTTGTTTACTGTTACACGACTGGATATCTGGGTCACACACCTTCGAAACGTGATGTCATATACAGCAGTCACGTGGTTTCCTGATGGACATTTATTGCATAATAATAACTATGAACAACATTTTTTAGAATATTATAATCTTGCGATGACTGATGAAACACCTAAAAGTATGACATGAAATGTTGGCGCTTGATGAATGAATGGACATTCGGCATCCGTCGGCGTTTTCTGTTAGTATATTTTAAAGAGGTTACGAGTCGAGATGTTGCGAAATGACCTAATGAGCCTAGGTTAAAAATTTAATTCAACTTAATCAGCTAACGTGCTTGCAGTCGGGGAACAAGCCAGTCAACAGTTAACTTTTCGTATTGAGGTGCGGACATGTTTCTAAGGATTGATTTGGTTGGTTGATTGGTTGGTTGGTTGGTTGGTTGATTGGTTGGTTTGTTGGTTGGTTGGTTGGTTAGTTTGTTGTTTAACGCCGAACGCAGCAATATGTAAGCTATAAGGTCTGTAAATAATCGAGTCTGGACCAGACAATCTACTGATCAACATCATGAGCATCGATCTACGCAATTGGGATACGATGACATGTGTCAACCAAGACAGTGAGCCTGACCACCCGATCCCGTTAGTCGCCTCTTACAACAAGCATGGCTTACTGAAGACCCGGATCTTCACGGGTGAGGATTGAGAGTGAAGATGCGAGGCTGGTGGTTGAGACACGAACATGCTTCCAAACACACCTGTATACTTGACATGGGGCGGTGGAATAGCCTAACACACCTGTATACTTGACATGGGCGGTGGAATAGCCTAACACACCTGTATACTTGACATGGGGCGGTGAAATAGCCTAACACACCTGTATACGTGACATGGGCGGTGGAATAGCCTAACATATGGGTCATCAGAATAAGGTCAAACTATCTGCCTGCAAGGGCAACTCCACCGTCACGACAACATCCTCATAACGATTCAGCCGAACCTTTGCAATGGAAGCTGCAGCTTTGATAATGAAATGAGAGCGACACGACCCCTATCATATTATTACAGATGGCTGGTATTATCCCTCCTATATGCTGAGGAGGTGTTTAGTAATAACTATCAAACAGGGATGACACCAGTTGAAAAGTTTAGTGTATCCCTCTCCACCGGAAATCTGCATGGCTGAACCTTCAAAGAACTAAGCATTATTCAAAGAACTGATTACTGTGAAGCAGTAAATTAGTCTATAGTAATATCTATGGAATATATTGTGATAGTATCGCAATGGTCTTTTAACATCTGTGCACCAGAAAACATGACATATCACCGGTGAATACCAAATGGATGCCTCACAAAAATATGGTCTACCAGTTCCGCTGAAAAGGGGAACCTTGGATATACAGACAAAATGACCTTAAAGACGCTAATGACTAATGGAGGTATATTTACATGACAGTGACATATCATTGTCTTAGGAGATGCAACTTCAGTGTCCACAACCTGAAGTGATGAAGAAGTTGGTGGATGCAGACGCTCAGCCGTATGTTATATGATGCCATAAGTCAAGTGTCATCCATCAGCAACAGACCTGGGTACTATCATTCTGTAAAAAGAGAATGTGCATCACTTATATGTTATTATACCTGTAACATTCTGTCGACAAGATCCGCGAGTGCTTTCATCTACAAGTGGAAAACTCTGAAATATTGGTACATACATACAGACAGACAGACAGACAGACAGACAGACACATACTGCAAAGGCAGTTTCCATATTAAGTATAACATACGTGATCAACAGATCATAACACATTGTTTAAATTTGGCGAAGCCATTTTAACTGACCGAAATTGATCATAGCACACGTGAAACATTCGAATGTCAAGACGAAGGTCATCTGTTCTCAAGATTTTGATGGCCCGACTAGAGTAACGAAACTGTCCCGTCTCGCCCCGTGAACCCAATCAGCTTACGAATTGTTGCCGAGGGAATGTTCACCACTATCAGTTAATGAAGAATCTTAGCATTCTGATCATTCAGAATAACGCCTCCATCCGCTCGTCTCGGGCGAATACCAGCGGCGCGTACATCCTACACAATCTGATATTGTTGTAGCTGTAGCTCGGGCCGTAGTGAGTCTATCACATCAGTGAGGAACCCGTATGGGCATGTCCTGCGCTGTAGTCGCTTGTCTACAGCTTCAGCCTCTGTCGGTCGTGTCATTTGTTTACTTTTCACTTGCTGTGCAATTGTGATGATAGGCAAATGATAACCCTTCGTTTCAAACCAATCTTCAACAGACGGGTGGTTTGAACGTTTAAGACGTCATTATTGGCAACGGAGTTTCGTCCCTTTGATTGCGAGTGTGAATCCTGCTTAGTTTTACTTATGCTGCTAGATTTTACAGCACCACGCTCGTGCTTTGGGAATTCAACAACCTGGTAAAAATCTGACATCGACCTCATGTCTTGTGTTTCTCTCAAATTAAACTGCTCACTCGCTCAAAACAGATTTCAAAATACTTTGCAAATCGTAATATAGAGATTAGCCACGAAGGGCGGTGTAGTGCTTGCAGAAAGTGAGTGAGTGAATGAGTGAGTTAAGATTTAAAGTCACATAGGCAGTATTTCAGCCATATCGTGACTAAAACTAGTTCTAAATTTATAATACATACATATAATATATAAAACCCTGTCAACGAAGGACAGTAAAACCACTAGATTATCACGGATTAAGTTAAAACTAGCTAGCATATATCTTTAAAAGTAGAAAATTATTTCTGGACAATACAATGTAAAAATGGGGTATAGGTCGCCAACAACTGAAGGTAGATCACCATACTAGGGACCATGGGGACTTACAGTGCCTTTGCTACCTGCATGGACCCTAGTTTGATTGACACCATCCCTTCCGCCATTGGCGTCAGAAGAGAAATCTAGCCATAAAGTAAAAACACACTTATTCTACGATTAAAAAGCAGGTACACTTAGATTGACTAAATGTTTGGGGACTTACGTACCCTCTCAGGAGGACAATAATTTTACAATACTTCAACCCCCTTTGAGGATACAACCACTAACAATCTAAGTTGCTAATCTAAACTACCAATAATAAAATAAATACCTATTTACAAATCACTCAACAAATCTAATTTTTAAAAAAATGCAATAATTAAATGAGAACTGGCATTATTAAAAAGATCCTTCAGAGTTTTGGATTTGAAATAGATATCCCTTGTGATGGAATATTCAGTGCAGTCAAGCAAGACATGCTTAACTGTGATCCTTTCATCACAAGGGATACAAAACGGAGGATCTTCGCCTTTCAATAAATATTCATGAGTATATCTGGTATGGCCAATGCGACATCGTCGCATAATGACATCTTCAAATCTGGACTGACAACCCAAGTGAGTGTAACCAATGTAGGGTTTTATTGCCTAGCAGAAAGTGAGTGTGAGTGAGTGCGTGCGCGTGCGTGCGTGTGTGCGGTCTAATGCCGCACGTTATAGTCCACTATGACATTAATATCCTTTCACAGTGTACCTTCTCCAAGCCCACTATTGTTGTCAGAGGTTTATTTGTTGTCTGGCATAATAATGATACATTAGACTTGTAACAGTCTCACCGGAAACACTGTGACAAAATAATATAAATGGGATGGCTCATGCCCCTCTACCGCCTAACTACACTCTACTTCGGAAAACAAAACAATTTTTTGGAATATATAACATTCCAAAACAACTTTGTTGACCTTTGTGTCTTTGGTGTCCCGTCTCCGGTACAAGACATTATTAACCTCTGTAGGTACAAACAATTATTGTCACCCCCACAATCGGAATAGTAACATTCAATATATTGTAAATCTGGAAGATGTAGGAAGATGGAGGCAGCCGAGATTTGAGCAGCACAAATTGTATGTGCCAGTACGTCTGTACAGGTGAATGTACGCCAAGTTTATCCACTTGGAATAGATCGCTTTGTTGTGTCATGAAGGAGGATAGATCAATGTTCAGCTTGGGTGACCTAACAGACTTTATGTCATTGTTATGTCATCTATATATACATCAGCCCAATATACCTGATCTATACCTCAGATAAGCAATATGTGTGAAGTTGTGTTAATGTGTGAGAAGTTGTGTTAATGTGTGTGTGAAGTTGTGTTAATGTGTGTGTGAAGTTGTGTTCATGTGTGTGTGAAGTTGTGTTCATGTGTGGATGTCAGCAGGCATCAATAAGAAACCATGGTTTCCTCAAGCCTTCTTTCAAGTTCTTGTCAACTTGATGAGCCCGGGATGTAAGGCCGGTATCTCGACTGGCGGTGAGATCGATGGTTATGATTGACTGTTGTCATTTCCGTGTTAGGAAAGTACCCTCAGGCTGTTTGGGGGAATAGTTCCAATAGACACGTTATCAGGGTTTTATCTACAACTTGCATATCTTTAACTGTTAAGTATACATAGAGAATCTCACCCAAGTGTCTTCTGATATCAATTATATCAACACGAGTTGATAAAGTTACAAATATCCGAGGCTTGCCGAGGATATTTTTACTTTATCAACGAGTGTTGATATATTTGATATCAGAAGACACGAGGGTGAGATTCTATTTATCATCCAAAATCACTCTTCATTAATTTTCAATGAAAAATGTACATCTCTGAACATGGCACTGCCATTAGACTTGCAGTGCAGCGATGTCATAGCATTGTGACGTCATCAAGTACATGACGTCATAGCATTGTCAGGGTATTGTACAAAGTCTACTGTCAAAAACGATATCTCCTAGGAGAAATCGTTTGATCTCACACAAGCGATATCTCCTGTGGAACACAGTTTTGGATGATAAATGTAGTTACTACCTTCCAGATAATTTACTGGTTGGGTATTTGTCAGAAACGTTTTGGGGGGTCAATGCGTCTGCAAAACTAATATTTTGGGTGAATTTTATTCTATTGATAGCCATTTGCTCTTTCCAAACAGGACAGTCTTTAGAGAATGATGGGTGTTCCCCTTTGCATTTTTTAACATTACTGTCACAATCTTCTGTTGTGTGTGTCTTTTCACCGCAGTGAGCACACACAACAGACAATGTGCAAGTACTTACGCCATGGCCGAACTTTTGGCATTTGAAACACCGAAGTGGATTGGAATGTACATGTCCACACTGATATTACAGTACCCAGCCTTAATTGGTTTGGGAGCAGTAGGTGAAGAGAAGGAAAAAAGATAGGTATTAGTTTTAATGGTTGTGTTGTTTTTTACGGGTTGAAAAACGTTTGACATATAGGACACCCTGATCTCTCATCTCAGAAACTATATCAAGCTCAGACATGTCCGCAAGCAAGCGATCGCGGTCTCGCACGATTCCCTTGCTTGTGTTCAGAATTTTATGGGCTGTGATGTTAACTGGAACGTCAACAAAAGTATCTGTGTTAAACAAGTTGGTTGACTGTTGTTTTTTGCTGCACTCAACCAACAGCGCACCAGAACGCAATCTTTTAATGCTCTTTACATCACCGGCAATGCCTTGAATACCCTCAGACACAGCAAAAGGGTTTAACTTCTGTGGTGTGTCATCTTTTGTTTCAATAACAACAAAACGTGGCCAGTACTCAATTTGTTTGGGCAGTCTGAAGTCGTGTTCCGGAGGATCATTTTCAAGAGGACGTTTGCTCTTTTTAGTGGGGGTTTCATAAGCCATGTTGAGTTTTTTTAAAGTTCATCATCCGAGCTCCCCACCCACCACGGAGTATCACAAGGACAATGCTAAAACAAGTGGGTCTCCGACTTGCAGCACCAAGGATACTCGGATGATATACTCAAGCAGAAAAACTAAAAGATTAATTTTTCCACCAGATTGGCCCATGAGCCACCGCCTTCTGGCCATAAGACTCTAGGGAAAGTTCATAATATACATATTACAAAGTCAAATGCTGTTCAATAACAAAGGGAGCCAAGACCAAAATGTAAACAATTCCAAATACAATTTTTCGCAGTTATGGAAGCGCAATGCACAGGTCTTGGCGTGGCCAGCCGATTGATAGAACCGGGCCAGTTCTACCACCCGTCTAGGTGAAGTAAGGGCCGAAGTGGTGTGTTGGGCAAAGGAACGCTGTTCCTGGAACCAATGCCCTCAACCACCAGGATCCCGTCCTCCACCGACACAGGGGCGCAACCCAAACGGGTGGTGGACCAAATATACCCCCCGGGTCGAAGCGCTCTTGGCGTTACCCAGCACCCACCACGAGGAGGTGTCTCTTCACGGGTGCCACACGTCACCGGAACAACATTTTCCAGCATGATAACGCCCGGGCCCATTATGAAGCGACCAGCCGTTACTCCTGATATAAATCCAACTGAACCTCTTTGGGATGAAATTCAGACGAGACTGAGTAATGTCAAACCAAAGCCGAACACAACCGATTTATTCCGCCAGACCTTTCCCATGCAGAGCTTGGTTCAAGGTGCCAATGGCCTTCATCAATCGATTGGTGCACTCTATGCATAGACGCTGTGCTGCAGTTATTGCCGCTCGTGGTGGTCACACTTGATACTGAAGTCAAGAGTCTGAATGGACTGCAAACGTCAAGTAATGTTTTGGAATTGTGTTGAGTTATTCATTGATGTGTCAAGATATTGTACACAAAAACTGTTTTTTTGATCCGCTTATTATGTCCATTTCTATAATGATTTGATTACAGTGCCTATCTAATTTTGAATTCGTACTGACGTTGTAGTTTTTTTTGCCTCAGGGCATATGTGCATCATAGATCAAAATGAAAATTGGAGAACTAGAACAATAACAAGGAGCAAAAGATAAGATCAGAATCTTAAAAAGATCCTAACATAAGCAAAGTGTATTTAAAGAAAACCCAGAATGTATCAAATCCTACAATGTCCAGATGTAACAGAAGTAACTGTGGAACGTGTCGACATATTGTTGAAAGACACGTGAAGAGTTCTACGTAAAACATAACTTTGACTTCTTGAAAATATAATATATGTCATAACATGCACAGGGTGTAATTCACAGTATTTAGGTCAATCAGCCCGGGATCGTGTTCATACACAACGAATAAAGTGTCCTGAAACCCGATGTATCCCACTGAGTGAACATTTGGATACCCGTGCGAAGGGACAGGAAATGTAATGTACAATATTTCCTTTTTATCAAACATATGTAGTGAATGTGACTCCCGATGCTGATATTTTCTACTCAAGTGGATTCATGATGTTTCTGGCTCTTTGAATGGCATGCCGTAGTAAAGTTCCTTCTCAAAATCAAGAGACCCAAACTGAATCACTGGGCAAGTCGGTCGTACAACTGAAGCAGAGACAGTACGTTTTCGTGACTTGGCCAACGTAAAGCCAGTCTGAGTGAGTGAGTGAGTGAGTGAGTTATAATTTATCGTCACATCGGCAATATGTCAGCCATATCGCGACCAGAACATTTAATTGTTCTACAGAGTAATTTATGGTAAATTCTAAAAACCTGTCGTAAAGCCAATCTGACATATTATGGCAGAAGATGTTGATACAGAGGGAGTGACTGTATCAGAATATGTAATATTTGATGGAGTTTAGTTCTCATTTTCAATTACCTTTTTGACGTCAAGGTAGGATATGTGTCTTCACAGTTTAGTTTAATTATTTCTGACTCATTTTGCCACTTGGCAGGATTTTGACGATGCACCATGTGGTCCATGTAACACATGCTATATTCCAGATTACAGTCAGTGAAGTACAGACCCTAGTACTGTGGTTGGGTTGAGCCCCATCCGGGATTCGAACCTACAATCTCAGAGTCAGGCACATACTCGCCAGTACGCAATGTCAGTCATTTAACCCGCTCAGCCTTCGCTGCTGCCACCCGTCTTGATGAAAGTAGGATCACAAGAATCGGGTTTCATGGACTCGACCCCTCAACCACTCCCCGATATTTCACATTGATATATCTCTTCAGTGCAACCCACTACCTACCTGCTTGTCACTTTAACTTATTTGTTATTTGATATAATTATTGATATTTCACTTGACTTTTCAGTAATGTGGTAGAAAATGGGACCGAGCTGATAACACTCACGATCCTGTTTTATGGTGTGTAGATAGCACCATGACTCAATGGCACGATTATATTTATTTTGTACGTACAATACTTGCCTGATTCAATTTAAATGTTTAATGATGAGAAAAAAAGGCTTATTGCTGGGCAAACGAGTGACGAGGGAGTGTTCTGTAAGAAAAGAGTTTTCACTTTCCATTGAAGAAGGGACTATAGGAATGTGAACGTTCTGTTCAGTCATTTGAGTGTGATACCAGAAATGAGTGAGTTACAATTTAAAGTGGCATGAGCATTATGATTGCCTGTGTTTCTGTGACATGTCATTGATGTGGTGAATTCATTAAAGAGTTTGCTAACTGTCACTGCCCACATGGTGCGTCGTCAAACTCCTGGCCCCTGTGGTAAAAGGTGATACAAATAATGAAATCAAATGTGAAAAATATAACAACATATCTTACCTCAATGTCAACATGCTATTTACAATTCTAAGATGCCTAGCGGTTAGAACAATCGAAAAAAAATACATTATCAGACAATAAAGGTATAGTTTTTTGATGACGTAACAATTGAATCACGTTATCCCGTCACTGCGCCATTCTAGTGTGCCCCCTCGTAATCGAACCATTTTACATTACGTCACAATGTAAGCGACGTCACGATGCATGTCAGTTGTCATCGCCTCGTACGGCCTCCTACAGTAAACTACACCGTTGCATCCAGTTTCTTGGTTTGCTGTTGCTTCACGCAGCTAACATCACTGGTGGAAACATTACGTTTATGTTTTACGACGGTTAAAATGTGTCATTTCGACTCACAAGTTTTTAGCGACACGGTAACGTTCGTAATGTTTACATTCCCACAATGCAATTGTGGAATGTCGCTTGACTACTCAACTTCCTCTGACCCGTGAAGATCCGGGGTAGAATAGGTCTTCAGCAACCCATGTGCTTGCCATAAAAAAGGCGACTATCTTGTCGTAAGAGGCGACTAACGGGATCGGGTGGTCAGTTTCGCTGACTTGGTTGACACATGTCATCGGTTCCCAATTGCGCAGATCGATGCTCATGCTGTTGATCACTGGATTGTCTGGTCCAGACTCGATTATTTACAGACCGCCGCCATATAGCTGGAATATTGCTGAGTGCGGCGTAAAACTAAACTCACTCACTCACTCACTCAACTTCCTCTGGATGTACTGATCTAAACTTACGCTGGTAGTAGAAATGCAACGTTCATATTGCCCCATATGGTTTACGTTAATGACAGATGTAATTAACTTAATTCAGAGAAGATATTTAATCCGAACGTAAACCGTCATCAAACTGTTATCATTTGTTTATTTCTGGTAACATTGGTCTTAACGTGAGGGGGCAGACACATCAATAGAACAGCGCGCCAGTTTGCCCTGAGCGAGGATTCTTAATTTAGGTCACCGACACCGTCGTTTGTTTTCTGCCTTAAATTAATCGTAATTATCTTTAGAAAGTATTAAATTTAGCATCTTAGAAAAGAAAGAAATACACTTCGCCCTACCACCATGTATAGTGTAATAAAACACACTTTCGCCCTGAACTATTATAACGTTAAAGCACTCGGACGCATGCGTCCTCGTGCTTTAACTATAATAGTTCAGGGCAAAAGTGTGTTTTATTACACTATACATGGTGGTAGAGCGAAGTGTCATTCTTAAATGAAGTCTCAACTCCGTCGATATTCTGCAGCAGACACTGGCTCTGTGGCAACTTCTTCTGTTGCAATACAGGAAGACTTCAACGAGGGAACCCGAAACGTTGCGGGTTAGAATCGGTCTTCAGTAGCCGCTGCTTGTCGTAAAGAGGCAATAAACGGGCTCGGGCTCGCTAACTTGGTTGACGTTATCGTATCCCAATTGCGTAGATTGCTGCTCATGTTGTTGATCACTGGATTAGCTGGCCGATTGATTACTGGCGACCATCACATATCTGCAATCTTGCTGAGTGCGGCAATAAACAACAAATAGACCAACTTAAACATGGGTCAAGCCAGGAAAACCTAATGTTTCAGGCTCTGTCACTGTACCTACTTCCCCAGTAGTACATCCATATCATTATAAATAACTTTGACAAAGTGTGAGTGAGTGAGTGAGTTTAGTTTTACTCCGCACTCACCAAAATTCCAGCTATATGGCGGCTGTCTGTAAACAATCGATTCTGGACCAGACAATCCAGTGATCAATAGCATGAGCATCGATCTGCGCAATTGGAAACCGATGACATGTGTCTGCCAAGTCAGCGAGCCTGACCACCCGACCCCGTTAGTCGCCTTTTACGACCAGCACAGTCGCCTTTTGTGGCAAGCATGGGTCAACTTTGACGAAAACGAAATGAAAAACTTAAATAGAAAAAAATACACCTGCCATCCCTTCACCTTCAAAGGTTCCCCTACAGAAAAGTGAAAACACTATACTATTGCCCCTTATCTTAATCCAAACTGAATTCCCCTAAATAGTTTTCCCTGCAAAACAAAATATATGTATCTACCTAAACTTATATAACTAAACTTTATTTCTTCTTTAAACTAAAACTGAAAGGGTGAGTGAGTGAGTTAAAATTTAACGTCAATTCGGCAATATTTCAGCCATATCGTGACGAAAACATACTTGACATTAAAATGGAACACATGTACATTATATAAACCTGTCGACAAAGGACAGTAAAACAACTAGAATATCACAACTACAACTAAAACTAGTGTAGAAAGTTAAAACTGAGAGCACTATTTGGACAATACAACATATAAACATGCTGTAGATCGCCAACAACTGAAGGTAGATCACCATACTAGGGACCATGGGGACTTACAGTACTTTTGCAACCTGCATGGACCTTGGTTGGATTTACATTATCCCTTCAGCCGCTGGCGATTGTACGAAATGCTAGCCAAAATAAAAATAACAAGAATACTACGTTTAAAAATCATGCTAAGTTTAAATTGACTTTGAAAGTGTTGCGCCTTTCGTACCCTCTCAGTAGGACAATAATTTTACGATACTTCAACCACCTTTTGAGGGTACAGCCACTAATAACCTCAGTTACTAATCCAAACTACCAATAATAAAATATATATCTATTTACAAACTAGTCATAAAATGAATCTAAGATAATAAAATCAAATTATAAAAATCTAAGATAATTAAATGAAAATTAACAGTACTAAAGAGATTCTTAACAGTTTTTACATTGAAATACTTAACCCTTGCGATGGAAAAATCAATACAGCCAAGCAGGACAAGCTTGATTCTCTCATCCCAAGGGATACAAAATGGAGGATCCTCACCTTTTAACAGGTATTCATGAATACATCTTGTATGGCCAAAACGACATCGTCGAATGATGACCTCTTCAAATCTGGACTGACAACCAAAGTAGGTTTAACCAATATAGGGTTTTATTTCATGTATTTTTTTGACACATTCTTGAGTGTCCCACTTCTTCTGCATCAGATCGCGGATTTACGATCTTATGGAAGCTTTGTAATCGGAGTATGGAATGAGAAGTGGTGTCACAGATTTGTTCAGTGCTGCCTTAGCAGCATAATCGGCCATAGTGTTACCAGAAATTCCAACATGGCTGGGTAACCAACAGAGGACGATGTCATATTGTCCAGTAGCAAGCTCATTGTATAATTCTATTATTTCTGTTTAAAGTGGATGTTTGCAAGAACGATTTTTAATAGCCTGAAGGCAAGAAAGAGAGTCAGCAAAGATTATCTATTTTTTATGTTTAGGATGTCTTTGAATATATTTAAGAATCGAAAATATGGCGTTAGCTTCTGCTGTACAAAGAGAGCTATTATCTGGTATTCTAGACGATATTGTTCGGGATCCAATGACAGTGGCACATGCCAGCGCGCAACCGTCCTTCGACCCATCTGTAAATACGGATTTGTATGTATTATATTTAATCTTTAATTGATTATATTCTTTTTTATATTGTAATTCATTAGTTTCTGATTTCTTAAACTTTGTCAAAGTTATTACAACTTCAGACCTCAACAGCAGAAATGAATGGTGTAATTCTGTGCCCAAGAGGCGGTACAAGAGAAGACTTTTGTTGTACAGATCATCATCAAAAAGGATTGAAAACACAGTTAAATGCAGGGTTAGCCTCGTTAGAATAGAGTTTTGTTATATACTGTAATGATAATTTTATACGACGTGGGTTAAGGGATGACTCATCTGCCTCAACGTAGAGACTGTCATCAGTAGAAGTTCTAAAAGACCCAAGACAAAGTCTTGAACAGAATCAAGTAATTTTAGGTTGCTTTTGCAGGCTCCACCATATACGATGGAGCGATAATCAGGTTTAGATCGCACCAATAATCTATGTAAGTGAAGAAGGTAGTTTGATCCCCTCCCCACTTTGAATTGGAAACAACCTTTAACAAATCAAGGGCCTTCAGGCATTTATCTTTAAGGGACTTAATATGTGAAAGGAATGTCAAATGGGAATTGAAAACAAGACCCAAGAATTTGGCTTCTTTGACAACTTTGATGGGGGTGCCATTTAAAAATAGTTCAGAGTCCTTGTGCGGTTTACATATACGGCAGAAATGTTCAATAGGATTTAGAAAATTTAGCCGTTTTCAAGATATTTTTTTACGTTCATGACAGGAAATATTAAAATCATCCGCAAATAATGATCCACCAAAGAATCGTTTAAAACAGTTGATAAACTAGTGATTTTGATGCTAAACAGTGTGACACACAAACTACTGCCTTGAGGGACACCCTGATCCTGATTGTAATGATCAGACAGGGTTGAACCCACTCGGACTTGAAATTGCCTGTCTTTTAAAAACTGTGATATAAAAAGACGCAAACGGCCTCTCAAACCAAAGTCATGTAAATCCTTCAAAATGCCATGCTTCCAGGTCGTATCATAAGCTTTCTCAAGATCAAAGAAAATTGATACAGCATGTTGTTTATTTACTATAGCATTTTTAACAAAGGATTCTAAACGTACAAAATGATCAATGGCACTACAATTTTTCCGGAAACCACATTGAATATTTGTTTTAAGGTTATTGGTTTCAACATGCCAGGTTAAACTGAACTTAAAACTCTGTTTGCCTAGTCTACAGAAACAATAGTGACTTTCTCACCTTTCTTGCCTCTGTAAGACCCCATGGCTCAGAGTAAAAAATAATCTGCCCTTTTATACCCCTAACCTACAACTCTTACCCAATAAATACCATGCTCTGAAAATTACCCAATAAATGCCTACAAAAGAAAAGTTCAATGGACTGATCCATCTTCTTCTGAGATGCTCATGCACAGGCCCATCCCATTGTATTTCAATGGGGAGAAGCATACTGAGCACATGCCTAGTGGGTCATTACTCCTCAAGAGCTAAATGGACCAGCCAACAGAAGCCTCAGTCCAGTGTATTTGTGTTGTAGCCTAGCCTATGCCTAACCCTGTCCCAACCCTAAACAAACAAGCCTAATTTCTACAAAGAAACCTAACCATTACAATATCAACATTTCAAGACCAAAATCCAGAAGGCCTTGCACGGAAGGTCGTCTCAAATTCAAAGAGGGTGGAGGTCAGGCAATACTCCTCCATGTATATCAATCGCTGAGTCAATCAGGACTGTGGGTATATTCAAATCCATAGGTTTATTGTATGAAAGGCCATATAGGATGAATTAAACCAAAGATTCACGTATTATTTCTACTCTTGAAGGTATATTTGAAGTATAACGTTACATATATTAATTCTTGATAGTTTGTGGTTGCGATTTAAATATTTATTTAGTGTGTATTTCTTTCTAATGTTCTTTAATAATGGACATATGAGGTTGAAATGGTACAGATCTTCGATGTTGCTTAAAATACAATATTGAATATGCTTGCATATGCGCTAGAGCTATATAGAAGAAAACAACACACTAGACACAAGCAAGGACTCAGATTATGTGTGAGTATCTTTCAAACATCTCTCGTTGATAGCCTTTCCATAGACAAATGATCCGCCTTAAAAGAAGCCTCGCATTAAACTCGCTCTTCAGTACGTTACTGATTTACATTCCAATGCCTCCAATCCTGCTTATGACTCTATTGTTAAGCCCCTCTATGAAAACCCGTTTTATAAGAAACACAAGCTGCCCAAAGACAATATGTACATGTATAGTATGACCAGAAATTATTGAGAATATTAGGAATATGTTTAATTGGATTTCTAGGATAAACAACCTTAACCTGCTATCAAGTGCTTGGTTTCATTCAAGAGAGATAACTCCGTTAATCCTTTTCCATTAGTTAGTGAAGAGCTATCCCCCTTTGTTTACTTGCTAGCAGACGACATTTCCAGTGATTCTCAGTATGGATGATTTAGAGAAGAGGAAGTTGATTTTAGAGTATAATAACAAGGACATCAGATCAGCTAAAGTGATTTCAAGTAGAACAGGCATTCCTTGATCCTCTGTTTATCGTGTTTTGAAAAATATTGCAAATGGCTATGGCACTGAGCACCAGGGAGTCACAGGTAGGCCCAGAAAATTAACTGTCCACAGGAGGCGGCTTGGTATTCTTGTTTCTAAAACCAAACGAAGGAGTTTAGAAAACTAAAGGCTGGATATGATTGATAGAGGAACTGTGGCTGTCTGTAAGGAGACAATTAGAATTGAGCTACATGCAATAGGTTGGCAGAAAAGTCGAGGAATTCCATCACCGATCATGACACCTGAACAAAAGGAGCGAAGGTTGAGCTGGTGCTTACAGCATAGGAATTTTAACTGGGACAATGTGATTTTCTCAGATGAAAGTTCTGTGTGGCTGTTTCCTAATACACTGAAATTATGGACCAAACAAACTGAAAGACCTTTGTATCAGCGCCCAAAGTACAGTCCGAAATTTAACGTGTAGGGTTGTATATCTGTGTTAGGGGCAGCGCCCCTCTGTGAAGGGAATATGAACAGTGAGCGGTACACAGATATTCTCGAGGGACATTTACTTCCATCTGCTCACGTGTTCTATGGAAGTTTTTGGATTTTCCAGCAGGACAACGACCCAAACCATCGTTCAAAGCATTCACAGGCCTGGTTTTGGACCCAAAATATAACATTATTAGATTGGCCAAGCTATAGCCCTGACCTAAATCCAATCGAAAATGTTTGGGGACTTATGAAGGAAACTGTCAATCAGAACAATCTAACAAATATTGCTGAAATGAAAGAAGAGGTGGTCCGATAGTGGGACAGCATGGACCACGACTTTCTAACTTCTTTGATCAGTAGTGTGCCTCGCCGCATTGAAGCCTGCATTGCTGCCCATGGTGACTTGACAAAATACTAACTGTTCACCTGTTATTGAATCTGGAGTTATGTTCTGCTAATATTCACATTAATACGTGAGTAATGAGTGAAAAAAATATAAAAAATTGCAATCTTCAAATTCTCAATAATTTCTGGTTGTACTGTATGAGATGAGTGAGCTCGAGTTGAGTAGGGTTTTACGTCACATCGGCATTATGTCAGCCATATAGTGACGGGATCAAGTGTGAGTTGTTAATCAAAAGCATATATATATTTACATTGTCATAGCACCAACTTCGAACGTAAGCAGTTCGTTATTCACATTACATAACTACAATTTATGATAAAGGTCAACTTCCCTCGGTCAGTTAACAATGAGATGCCCGCTCACGCGGGAAAACAGATCTTTCAGATTTGCCGCGTCAAAATGTGAGTCCCTTGCAGTCGAAAAGTCCACACAGTCAAGCAGTATATGCTTGATGGTGAACACGTCACCGTAAGAGGCACACATGGGAGGTCCATCGCCATCCCTTTTTAGCAGATAGTCATCAGTAAACCGACTGTGGCCAATACATGGTGGTAAAATTACCTCATCTCGTCTTGACTGACAACCCAAGTAGGTATAACCAATTGTTGGCTTCAATTCATGAAGTTTATTTCTTCCTACTTGGGTGTCCCACCTTTGTTTTACATAAGGTACCCAGTATAACTTTTCATAGTGGGTTTGAAATCACTGTACGGCTGCAGCATCGGCCTTTGTGACCCGGCAACCAGCAGAGGACGATGAAGTTTATGGAATGGTTCTGATGTTTGATATAGGTCAAAGCTGTGAAGATAGCTTTGGCCTCGGCAATGAAAATGGAACTATTGTCGGGAATTCTGGAGGAGACAGTCTTGGATCCAATTACTGTAGCACTGGCAACTTGACCATCATCCATGGATCCGTCTGTGAAAATGGATCTATGGGTGTCATACTTGGAACGTAACTTGTTGTATTCCTGCTGGAACACCAAAGGACTTGTTTCGGACTTTTGAGTTTAGTGAGGGTAAGGTCGACCTGTGGTTTCACCATCTGCCACGGTGGCGAAGGCAGGAGTCGGTCAGGTGCTATGATATTGAGATTTATTTTAGCTGCAGATATGTGTTGTTGAATTCTGATTCCATGCTTGGCAGTTTAGGAAACAGGTTTTCATAGAGTTGAAAAGACATATGTATGCTGGATTGGACTGGGTGATATACTGCAGTGAAAGTTTAATGCGGCATTATTCAAGGGAAGGTTCGTTAGCCTCCGCATATAGACAGTCCTAAAAGCTCCCAGGCAGAGCCTCAGGCCTTGGTGGAGGATGGCTCCACCATAAACAATGAAGCATAAGTCTAGTTTAGAGCGAACCAATGATCTGTACATGTTAAGGAGTGTAGTCTGATCCCCTTCCCACTCTGTATTTGAAACGACTTTTAGTAATTCCAGGGTCTTCAAGCACTTGGTTTTCAAATATTTTATGTGTGGTGAGAATGTCAGGTGACGGTCGAATATGAGTCCCATGAATTTGGCCTCTTCTACTACCTTGATAGGGGTACCATCTAAGGATAGGTCTGGATCCTTGTGTGGTTTGTATTTACGACAAAAGTGAATACAATGTGTTTTGGACTTTGAAAACTTAAAGCCATTTTCATTGGTTCATTTTGGGATCTTGTTAACGCAGAGTTGTAGCTGCCTTTCTCTTGCGTGCATGTTCTTACCACGACATGAAATATTGAAATCTTCCACAAAAAGGGACCCTTCAACACAACTGTTCAAGACGTTGGTGAGGCTGTTAATTTAGATGCTAAAAAGTGTGACAGACAGGATGCTGCCTTGGGAGACGCCCTGATCTTGGTGGAAATAATCACACATTGTGGAACCTACCCGTACTTGAAATTGTCTGTTGTTTAACAATTGAGATATGAACTGAGGTAATCAGCCCCTCAATCCATATTCATGTAAATCTATTAAGATACCATGTTTCCACGTTGTATCATATGCTTTTGTCTAAATCAAAAAAGATAGATACAGTATGTTGTTTGTTGGCAATGGAATTTTTAACAAAATATTCTAGACGCCATTCCAGATGGTCAATGGTACTCCGATTCTTTCGGAAGCCACTTTGGAGGTCACTCAGGAGGTTATTGGTCTCCAAGTACCAGATTAATCGATTGTTGACCATGCGCTCCATGGTTTTACAAACACAGCTTGTTAGTGATATAGGACGGTAACTTAAGGGATCAGTATGATGCCAGGCTTTGTTATAGGGATAACAATTGCATTGTGCCACGAAGGAGAAAAGTTTCCGGTTATCCAATTATCGTGAAATATATAGAGTAGTGTTTCCAAACTTGAATCAGGGAGGTGCTTCAGAAGCTGATAATGCATATCATCAGCTCCTGCAGCAGTGTCGTGAGCTTTCTCAAGGGCAGTACGTAGTTCATGGAGAAAAACGTTTCATTATAATCCTCTCCATTATAAGAGTTAAAATTGACTGATTTCTTTTCTTGTTGGGTTTGGTATTTCTGGAACTGAGGGTTATAATTTGACGAGGAGGAGTGGTTTGCCAAAGTTTCGCCAAGTTTGTTTGCGATTTCAAGTTTTTTTGTTAAAAGAGAGTCACCATCTTTGAGAAGGCGAACACCAGATCCTTGTCCCTTTATCTTTTGATTCATGTTACACACCTTGGACATGGGTGTGCGGGAGTGGACTAACCATTCAAACTCGGTTAAGAGATTAGAATTCGTAAGTGATAGATAAAGTGCAGAGTATGTTCCAGTGGCAGGATGGAGATAAGTGTTTGATCCATCGTTGAAGATACATAGCTCATTATTGGAGAGAAAATCTTCAAGAACCTTTCCCTTATTATTTCTATCAGTACTGCCCAATAGAGGGTTATGGCCGTTCATGTCGCCCATGATTATGCAGGACTTTGGGAGTTGATCATACAAGTTCTGAAGATCTGATAGGCGGACAGTTGAGGAGGGAGGAAGATAGACTAACACAGTATGAACAATATGTTCAGAGTCATGCGGACAGCAACAGTTTGTAGGGTGGTGTTAGGAGGAACAGGCTATGGAGGGTTCCCTGCCTCGCCAGGATAGAAGTGCCTCCTGTAGCTTTAACACCAGGAGGTGAAAAGGAGTGGTAGGAACTGTACCGACGGATGTCAAATTTATCAGTTCTTTTCAGGTAGTAACGTGAACGTGAGGAAGTGGATGAAGTATTGGTGTCAGGTGGAGATAGAGTGACCTCCATATCCAGAGGACTAAAGGAGTTATGGACCTCGACGGGGATCTCTGAAGGAGAGGTGGCCTTTGGTTTTTGGCTCGGCAGCTGCTCAAGCTGCTTTAGTCCCTGCAGTTTCTTTTCTTTTCTTTTTTGGCGAACAGTTTCCGTTTCTGGCTTTGGCATTGGCTCTGGTGTTTGTGTTTCAGAAGTTTTGACTTTTGGGTTTGGAGATGAAGAAGAAGGGGTTGATACAGGTTGAGAAGATTTGACCCATGTCAGATGGTTTGACATGAGATAGTTGCAGTAGTGGGAGAAGGGCGAGAGACAGCAGAAGTGTACGTGATGGTTGAAGGGGATACAGTTATACTTGCAACCCTCTACTTAGCTTCATGAAAGGAGATATTTTCTTTGTGCTTGATCTTTATGATCGCTGATTTGCGTTGCCACACGGGACAAGATTTGGAAGAGGCCATATGGTTGCCACCGCAGTTTGCACACTTCACTTCCATAGTACAGTCATTGCCCTAATGTTTTTAACCACAGCGGTAACAAACAGCACAGGAACGACAGTCCAGACTTTTGGCAGTTGTAGCACCGGAGTGGATTGGGGACATACTCCTCCACACCAATGCTACAATAACCAGCTCTAATCGATTCAGGAATCTTCGATCGGGAGAACGTAACCAGATGGGTGTTTGTTGGTTGAACAACACCGTCCTTCTTGATGGTGAATCTCTTCACAGCTGTGACAGACTGCTGGGAAAGTTCCTGGACAATTTGTTCCTCAGTCATGTCAGACAGGCATCGAGCTCTGTCCCGTACAATGTCTCTACACGTGTTCAGTGCTTTGTGGGCTGAGACAGCAACCTTTACATTGACAAACTCTTGTAATTTCAGTAGGTTCAAGGATTGCTGTCTCCGAACACATTCTGCAAGGAGAGAACCTGACCGAAGCTTTTTATTACATTGGCATCCTCTCCGCAGATACCAGCAATAACCTTGGAAACTGCAAATGGGTTCAATTGCAAAGGTTGCTTGTCACACGCTTCACTGATTAAGAAACGTGGCCAGTAATCAGGTCGGAAGGGCGTACTCTCGTCAGACGAGGAATTGTCAGAATCCATATGTCTTCGTTTTGAACCGGAGTATTGGGAACCATGTCGTAAGTAATGTGGTTTGGCATCCCCACTCCCCACCTACCATGAAGTGTCAACAACGACGATCTTATACTGCAGCGGATCTCCAAGCTGCAAAGACCGGGGGTAATGGGGTCTTATACCCCAGCGAATTTGAAATGAAATACTGTAGCTGTCTACCAGATTAAAGGTCAGGATTGTTCGGTCCATGACAAATATATAATTGGAGACATACAGAAATCGTTGGTCAGGATCACCAGATTGGCCCATGAGCCACCGCCTTCTGTGCATGGGTCTGCAAGGCTATTTGGTTGGGCAGAATATCAGTTAACATTTTGAACATGGCCAAAAGTGTTTTGTAGTACCAAAGTTTGAGAAAACATTCCATGCACAGGGCAAGGCGTGACCAGTCGATTGGTAGAATCGGGCCTATTCTACCACCCGTCTAGGCAAAGTCAGGGTCGAAGTGGTGTGTTGAATTAAGGAACACTATTGCCGGTTCTGTCATCCTCAACCACCTGACTCCCTTCCTCTGCCGACACAGGGGCGCATCCCACGGCAAACCCCTTACGACCAGCAGTGGGGTGCTGTCGACCTATTCGACATTGGGTCCACACGGGGCGAAGAGCCTTTAGCATTAACCAGCACCCACCACAAGGAGGTTGCTATTCAGGGGTGCCGTACATGATATTGAACAACAGACTATCAAACTGGGCGAATATGCGTGATAAGATTCCCGAATCCCAGGCAGGATTTAGAAAGGGATATTCTACCACTGATCATATATTTACGACTGACGACTTTATTTTATTTGGTCGGTTTACAAAATCAATTAAATATCTTAGAAAGTTATACTAAAGAATGGAAGTTAGCAGTACATTTAAGCAAAACAGAAATTGTGATATTTGGGAGGGGCGGTCCCGTGGCCACAAACGAACGCTAGTTTTATGATGGTCAGTTGATTAATGTATCCGATCAATATTCTTACTTAGGGTTTTTGTTTTCAAACAGAATGAACTTGAATAAATGTGCACATAACTTAACTTTACGTGGAATAAAGGCTTTAATACAAGTTTTATCGGTTTTATACATAGTTGGAACTATGTCACCCAGTGTGTCTTTTAAGATATTTAATTCTCAGATTCAACCCATTTTATTATATGGATCTGAAATATGGGGTTTTCAGCGTTTTGATTGTATTGAGAGAGTGCATCTTTAAGCCTGTAAAAAATACCTCAATGTAAGCTCAAAGACACCTAACTGCATGGTATATGGCGAATGTGGCAGATTTCCTTTGTATATCAATTCTCAAATAAGATGTTTAAAATATTGGTTTAAGGTTCTAAATATGCACGAACAACGTCTGGCAAAATTAGCTTACAATATGCTTTTAAATCTGGATAATTTGGGAAAACACACTTGGGTAACTGATATCAGAAATTTATTATTTTCTCACGGTTTCGGTTTCGTATGGTTGTGCCAAGCAATTGGCGATGTGAACTGGTTTATTAATGAATTTCGTGTTAGATCAATAGATATGTTCAATCAAGAATGGAAATCCACCCTAGATTCAAGCTCACGATATGAATATTACAGGACCTTTAAAACGCTACTCCAGCCAGAAAAATACTTATCAATAATTACAACATATAGTTTAAGAACAATGTTCGTAAAGTATCGTTTAGGTTTGTTATCTTTAATGATTAATGAGGGTAGAAAAACCTCTGTCCAGAAAGAAAGTCGATATTGTCCTTTGTGTAACGTTGGAATAGAAAATGAAATTCATTTTACCCTGATATGTCCTTGTTATCACGACTTAAGACAGAAATATATACCGCACCATCTTCTTGCAAAGCAGCCCCATTATGCATATATATCTTTGTTACAAACCAATAATGAAAATATTCTTGCTCAATTGTCCTTATATATAAAATATGCATTAGCTAAAAGAGATCTTCTAATAAAGCGAATTGTATACCCTTAAATATATATGTGAATATATACTGTAACTTTATCACTGTAACTCTCATGTATATGGGCCGGAGGCCTTTCATACAAAAAACATCTTTTGACTTTGACTATATATTCTTTTCTGATTCTGCAGACATTGACTACTATCTCATCAAATTTTCAACCTATTTTAGAACTTATGCTGTTGATCACTGGATCGTCTGGTCCAGACTTGATTAATTACAGACCGTCGCCATTGGTTAGAGTATTGCTGAGTGCGGCGTTCAGAAACAAACAAACAAACTACATTGATCCAGGGTATTTGTCAGAATTGAATGAAGATACAATAGTTTACATGACGGGGAAGCAGTATCCTGCGATTATGTTTCCTTTTTGTGATATTTCGTTCAACATCAAAACACTGGTGTGTTATTAAATATGTTTCAAATGTTGCTCATCACTTTACGTTTGTTCAACTAAAGATATCCTTCTGCAGCATTCATTCATCCCAACTGTGACTGGACACACCGGGTGATACATACAAGTGATATTTCACAACTCTTCAAAACTTTACACTGGTATGATCACCTTAGTAATTATCCCAAAGTAACTATTAATATTGATTTTGTTATCGTAAGTTTAATAGTCAATTAAAAGTTTCTCTTGAGTTTTTCACTAATGTTATAGAGAATGGGACGGAAATGTTAACACTCACGACGGCTCTTGTATAGTGTATTGATAGCGCAATAAAGGCTGAGTGGTACATAAATATTGTTACTGATAGGTAAAACAAGTCTTGCCTTGTTCCATTTACAATTTTTATGATGTAGATAGCACGGCTAATATCTACCTCATGGTTTAAGGTTACCCAAGTCCCCATGGTCCCTAGTATGCTGGCCAACCTTCAGTTGCTTGTGGTCTCCTGTCCATTTGTATATTGTATTTTCCATGATGTTTGTTTGATGTTGAAGTTACATGTTAGTTTTAAATCTCTATATGTGGTAATCTGGTTATTATGTTTTCCTCCGTCGACAGGTTTTTAAGTTTTAATTGCGTTTATTGTGAATTTATTACTTTTAAAGCCACCATATTGGTGATGTTTCCGATGTGACAATAAATATTAACTCACTCACTCACTTTATCATCACATCACATTGTTCTCGTCCCAGTAAAGAAAAAACATTTAATTTTAGCCCATGTATGTATTCTATTCTGAACTTTCACTGACTGATCACCAGTAACTTATGGTGGTTGTAAAATTCAACCAAATAGTTGGTGTCGTCTAACTCCCAATCCTAGTGGCTTGTCACTTATCATTCCTGACCTTTCGGATCGTTGTTGACAGTGATAAGTATTTATTCAAAGGTAGTTGATAGCCCGGAGTGTCGCAGAACATCACTTTGAACAACGAATTCCCATAGGCGTAGGTGCTTGGTTACCTAAACCTGATGGGGAAACCTCATAAAACCTGAGGACGTTTCTTGTGGAAGCCGAGGTGGTTTGGCTGCTGACTTTGCGTGACGGAGAGGTGCCTGACTATGAGGCATTATATCCAGTTTGGCAATATAACCAGGGTATTATATAGGCAACAAAACATGGCATTATAACCAGAAGATTATAACCAGGATGTACTGTATGTTATATTTGGGATGACACGTGCATTTCTTACAGATATATTTTACGGATGGGTCAAAGAATGGTGAAACATTTGCTTGTGTTACTGTCATTGGTTCCAAAACATATCATCAAGACAACAAAAGGTTAGTGCAATTTTTACAGCAGAATCAAAATTTATATTTACATCTCATAGACTTTAGATGCTCAAACTAAATATAAGCAGTTTATTATGTTTTCTTATTCCCGTTCCTGTCTTCAGGCCATCGAGAAAAGCATCCAATCACTCGCTAACTCATCATCCTACATACAAAAGAAAAACATGTTGTCATGTCTACTGTAGACCTCTAATCTCCTTGGTAAGCATATACAGTTTTCCCATAAATTATTGTGAAAATCGTTGTTTCCTAATACTGAAAATAAAAAATCTCAAATAGGTGTTTCATGAGCTTAGGTGAAATTGGGTTTAACGTCGTCATATGACGTCATATGACAACGTGCATGCGTGTGTATGTGTATGTGCTGCTGCTTGTATTAGCCCAGACTTCAGCTGGTTTTAAAGTGCTAGCCCACTGAGATACCATGCCGCAGTGAAGCATGAATACCCGAGTCACATTATACTGACTCCGAGCCGACAAGTCCTTGTTGTACCCATTAATGCCGAGCGCCAGGCAGGGACCAACAAGTACCATATTTTAACGTCTTTTGGCATGATGCGGTCGGGTATCGAACCCGCGACCTTCCACTCTCCGGGCGGACGCTCTAACCACTACACCACGGAGGCGGTCATGTGTTACATGATGTAGTAAGGCACTCATTCTGGGAGGCAGCTCTTGTAGGCTTAAGAATGAAATGCTGGAATAATGCAAAAGAGTTCGCTGGTAGCTATGACATGCCTCTGTCTACAGTATACATAACTTTGAAGAATAGTCAGTCAGGAGCTGGAATTGAGCACAAGACAGGGGCAGGGAGGCCAAGGAAGTTCAGTGCTACGGATCACCAGCTTCTTGGTCCGATTGTGAGTAGGGAAAAACTGAAACGCGTCGAGAATATCAGAAATGAGATGATTAAGAGAGGAAGTCCTCAGGTATGTAATGAAACACTTATATAAGAATTGCAAAGACTTTGCAAAAACTGGTGTCGGGCTCATGAAAATCAAGCTTGTGATAATGATTTCTTCTCCGTCTGGCTTTCTTCTAAATGTGAGGAGATTTTTTTCGAACTGTGTGGAGATTTCGACAAGAGATACCGTGAAGTCTATCTACCAACACCGAAAAACATACCCCGAAATCATTCGTAACTACTCGCCTCTTTCCGTGACCTACAAGAAGACGCCATCCGGCTTGCCGGAATGACACGAGTAGTTACGAATGACCCCGAAATAAAATTAAACAATTTAACATGCGGGATAGTATATGATCGCGAGGAGTGATGCCGTTGTGTATTTTCACTGGAAATTTGACAACGGAACGACATGATATTGATGATATGAAGCAGAAAGTGGTCGAATATTGGGATAATCTGTCAAACGATTTCCTACAAACTTTGATCGATAGTGTACCTAGCTAGGTGCATTCAGTCGTGTATTGCAGGGCAAAGTACTGAAAATAATATTAGACTATAAAAGAATCATATCTCAACATAAATCTTCTATAATGTATATACATGCATTGGATATCTGCCGAAACAACTTTCTCCACAATGTTTGCGAATACAATATATGATCTGATCACAGCTTTATAACCGGAATAAGAAGTGCTGGCACATATTTGTTGAGAGCTGCCTAAACAGCAAAATCGGCCATTGTGTTATCAGAAATACCAACGTTGGTGGGTAACCAACAGAGGACGATGTCGTATTGGCCTGTAGCAAGATCATTATGCAATTTAATCATTTCGATTAGGAGTGGATGTTTGCAAGATACATTTGAATAGCCTGAAGGCACGAAAGCGATTCTAAAAAGATTACATATCGTTTATATTTAGGGGGCAGTGGGGTAGTCTAGTGGTTAAAGCTTTGGCTCGTCACGTCGAAGACCCGGGTTCGAATCCCAACATGGGTACAATGAGTGATGCCCATTTCTGGTGTCCCCCGCCGTGATATTGCTTGAATATTGCTAAAAGCGGCGTAAAACCAGTCAGTCAGTCAGTTTATATTTGGGTGTTTTTTAATATATATTTTTCTATGCATTTGCAGTGGCCCGCTCATTTTTGATAACTAGAGGGTGGTTTCATGATAAATCTGCCCATTTTAGCTCTAAAACTGTGATTTATTCATCATTGTCAGATTTAGTCAATGTGTACTGTCAGATTTAGCTATAACACCATGATTTAGTCATCACTGTCAGATTTAGTCAGTGATATGATACCAAAAAACAGCATAAAATGAGTTGAATTAGAAAGGGGATAACTGTACTGTGTTTGACGAATTGGGGACGCACACCGCTGGTTATATGGCCGCAAATTTGAAGTTATATCGGCTTCGCTTACGCGTTGCCGATATAACTAAATTGACAGTTATCCCCTAATTGATAGAGCCAGGCCCTTACTGCCACCCATCTTGATGAATTTCAGGGTCAAAGGAAACGTGTCTCCCGAACCCTTGCAGTCATCCACTCCATGTGTCAATACAGTGTCGTAACCCACGGAAAACGGTTTGTCCAGTACATTTTGCCCTTTCACAACGAATCACTCGGCGAAGACCTGGGAAACATTCTACCACGTGTTCCCACGGGGACGGAGCTACTGTGACATATGGACCAAGGGTATTTGTCAGAACAATATGAAGATATATTTGTAATAGCCTGGGTAATGGAGAATGCAGTATCCTGTGATTATTCTGCCTCAATATATTGTGATATGTTCTTCAACATTAAATACATTGGTCTCATATTGAGGATGTTTCACATGTTAGCCATCCGTTGACTTCTGTATACGAGAATCAGTATACTGAGGATATCTTTCTGCATGATTCATCCATCCTAATTGTGAGTAGATGTTAAATGACACCATATATAACTGATGTGTATAAAATTGATATTTCAACAATAATGAGATCTTTACATTTCCACTAATGAGATAGAGAATGGGAGGGAACTGATAACAATATTCACGGCGAAGGTTTTATAGTGTGTGCACAGCACCATAAATATCTCAATGACACATGAATAGTTTTATTCAAATGGAAAACTACATGCCTGGTTAAGTTTTCTTTTTTCATCATGAGAAAGATGCTGACTCCTTGTAAACAAGCCGAAAGTGAGCGTTCTGTAAAAATGGAATAGTCCATTTCCATTCAGTAAGGAACTGAAGGAAAGTGGATTCATTAGAACAAAACAGAGCAACCTGACAAGAATGATACTTCAGGTGTATTGGCTTTGTGTTACCCTGCTGCTGGTCACAATGGACAGAACAGATGGAATCAGTGACATGACTCTATTCAGAAAATGTACACAAGAAGAAACATGTGACACACCTCTGGCTGAATGTGCACCATGCGGGTGTTTACAGAGCTTCAACAAGTGTCTGCAGCTTTCTGGTTGTAGCTATGTAAGATTCAATCCCACGGCGCTAATTGGGAGAATGTGCTTGGCATCAAACAATGGGTCATCTGTTAAACCAAAGATATCAGACAGCGAGGAAGACTGGTACTGTCGAAGTAAAGTAAGTTCTGTAAGGACATACATTTGTGATACCTTTAGCTGAGACAAAACGTA